AAACTGGTACAACGAGCAGCACCACCACCTACCAGTATTCCAATCAGCCTCTTTGCACTGTCATGATACCCTGGTGTGCTGTGCCTTAGCCCTCAGTGGGCAGGACATTAGGACGCGGCACCTCTAGCACCGATCCTGCGATCGATCTTGCGCAGGATCGAATGTTGTAGGAGTTTAAAATGGTAATGAAAGATTTAAATGCTTTCGAAAAGAATTCAGTACGGTTGAATCAGCGATCCTGCGATCGATCGTGCAAAAATGCTTGAGGTGCCACGTCCTTAGTGTTGCTGGAGACCATACCCTTTTACCATCTGTGTATCGATTGTATAGAATACCATTTGTCTACACTTTCATTCACTCACATGCACTGCCCGTGATGCGTATGTGTATATCGACCAAATCCCCAGTGGGTCATCGCATCTCAAATCTGGGTTGGAAGGAACGAAATTTTCTTCGCGACGGGTTACACCGCGGAATGTGGGGTTTCGGGAGTTCAGATGTGAGCTCTGTTCTGTTCACCCGTTCGCTGATTAGCCTCTTCGCCAACCCACCTTTTCGCCCTCTCGCCTCTTCGCCTACTCGCCCAATTGACCAGTCAATCAACCAGTAAACTAGCTCTTAGCTATGCCTATTCATCCCTTCACACCGAGCATTTTTCACATGCAGAGCAAAGCAGTCGAACAGCCACCCTTCTCTATGCACAAATCGAAACCGCTCGTCGAATAACCTTCGCATGCTGGCGTTAGTGACGAGGAGGTAGGACGGACAGCTGTTACGAGCAAGTCGAGCGGCTCGGATTTCCCGCCAAAATCTAGAATAATGTCGAAGAAAGTCTTCGCCACCGTAGATCGTTGCGTTGTGGCGTGTAGAGGAACGAACGAAATGCAATATCGCGCTCCTAGTTCCTGGACATATTGTCCGAGGGAATCCCTCCCTGTTACTGATCTGGCCACTACGGTCCCGCTCACCCAGAAAATACCAGGTGGGGCTACTTCTTATTGCCAAAACAGCTTCTTCTCCTCGTTATCCACCCCTCATTTTCTCTTGTCAAATCCAGATCTGGGAGATAGTCAATCAGTTCATCACTTAATACCTTCTTTGAATCATGTATTCTAAGTTGTTACAGGACCTCGCTTCAGCGATAAATGTGCCGCCCCCTCTAGGTGTCTCTCTGGGATCAAGAGGATCTCCCCATTTGTTGACTTGGGATTTCCAAGTCACCTTCGGATCTAGAAATTTCCGGGGATTGCCAGAAAGCTGGCAGCAGATCTCCAGGGAAGAATCGGCCAGTGGGCCGACTTCCGTCCTTGGTCTACGAAAAAAAGATGCAGAGCTCTTGGCGTACCGTGCAGCCTTCCGGAATGCTGTTTTGGGAAACGTTCCCTGTCTGGACGCGGAACCACCAGCAGACGCCGCCCACGTCGCAGCTGTGGCGAAAGAGATTGCGAAAGTACATGCGAAGTTACTGCTGCAGGTGGACTGCAGCCGCATGTTAGGGCGCATGCCGCAATACTCCACAGGTGTGCATGGCCCGTCTCACTGCCCGATTTTCACAAGCACTGTCGAGCTGCCCGGTTGGGGCAGTTTCACGGGCAGCAGCTGCATGACGAAAACACAGGCGGAGACGAGTGCCGCGTTCGAGGCGTGGTTCGGATTTTTCGTGGCAGGGCCGTTCATTCGCGGGGGGGAGAGCGGAGTCCCCGTGGGAGGTGCAGGGGCAGGGGGGGAGCCGGAAGGTGCAGCAGCAGAGGAGGCCGCAGCAGCACCAGGAGCAGCAACAGGTGTGGAATCGGAGGTGGCATCTGCAGCAGGAGGAGAGGAGGTGGCCGGAGGTTATGGGGAGTTGGGGGGTGCTGGTGCTGTTTCAGCAGCAGAAGGAGCAGGAGCAGGAGCAGGAGCAGGAGCAGGAGCAAGAGGAGCAGGAGCAGAAGCAGGAGCAGCAGGAGCAGCAGCAGGAGCAGCAGGGGCAGCAGCAGGAGCAGCAGGGGCAGCAGCAGGAGCAGCAGGAGCAGCAGGGGCAGCAGCAGGAGCAGCAGGGGCAGCAGCAGCAGGAACAGAAGCAGTGCAGGCATTAGCAGTGGAGGTAAAAGAAGAAGTCATAGCAGGAGCAGAGGGTGCTGGGGGGGAGGTAGCACCTGCAGCTGTAGCAGAGGGTGCAGGGGGTGAGATAGCACCTGCAGCAGTCGCAGAGGGTGCCGAGGAGGCCCCTGCACCTGCAGCATCAGCAGAAGCAGAGGGTGCAGGAAAGGAGGTATTTTCTGCAGCTGGTGCTGCTGGTGATGCTGCAGCTGGTGCCACTAGTGCTCTTATCCCCTCTACAGGGTCTTCTGGAGATGTTGTGGAGGTGGGGGCTGCTAAGAAGGTGCGAAAGCGCGTGAAGTCTGAGGGTCAGGGGCAGAAGAAACTGAAGAAATGTTCCGCGCGTGGCAAGGAGAAGAGCGACGAGCCAGCTAGCAAAAGAGATGTGAAGGCAGCTATCAGCACCAATGAAGGTCTTGAGAGTGGGAAAAATGGTATGCAATATTGTGGAGGTGGGGGGCGTCAAGAAGCTGAAGAAATGTTGGAGGCGTGGCAAGGAGAAGAGCGAAGAGCAGCTGGCAAAAGAGATGTGAAGGTCTGTTGAGAGTAGGCAAAAATGGTATGGATAATGGAGGGGCGATGTGTATATAGCAAATGCTGGTGTCATGTTACATGCAGATAGAGCTGTATAGTACAGTGCAAGAATCCGGTCGTACCTTGTGATATAAACTTATGTGTACATACCTATGAATCTACCGCAGCACTATGGTGTCAAGAATCTTTGTTATTCTTGCTTTCTCTGGCAGTATGGTATTATTAAACTAATTACATAGAGGAAGAGTGAACGAGTTGAATAAAATCATGGAACTGAAATAGAGTGTATCAGGGAGCTCTCAGGCACTTATATCGGACGACAGGGAGGGCGGGAGGAAAAGTGGGAGCGGCTGGGAGGCGGAGCGAGGTTTCTCCTCCAACTCTTCCCGCGACACACGCGTTTTATCACCCCGCGCGTGGTCCCCAGAGTTATTCGGCTGCCTTTCGTCGCTTGAAATCAGGAAGGATGCTAAACGTTTGCTGAGCAATCGCTTTTTCCTCTTTTAATTTTCATTCTGCTTTCCAATTGTTCAAGCATAATGTACGCGAAGCTGTTGAACGACCTGTCGTCGGCCCTTAACGTACCGCCACCTCGAGGCGTCACGATCCCGCCACCAGAGCTCTACGGTTTTGAAACATGGGATTTCGCTGTCGAATTCGGCACGAAAGTTTTCCGCGGTCAGCGTGAATACCGGCAGCAAATCTCCTTGACGACCGAAGTTCCGTTTCTTGGGTTCACCGTGCAGAAAAAAAACGCGGAGCTGCTAGCTTATCGTGCCGCCTTCCGGAATGCCGTTTCGGGAACCGTTTCCTGCCCGGACGCGCGACCGCCCGCTGATGCCGCCCGAGTCGCGTCCATGGCAATCAAAATCGCAAAAGCCAATGCGAAGTCCCTATTACAGGTAGACTGCAGCCGGATGCTGAAAGATATGCCTAAATATTCGACAGTCCAGGGTAAATCACTCCACTGCCCATCCTTCACAAGCACGGTCGAGTTACCATTTGGTTGGGGCAGCTACACGGGCAGGGCGTGCATGAGTAAATTACAGGCAGAAAATAGCGCGGCTTTTGAGGCGTGGTACGGTTTCTTTGTGACGGGACCGTTTGTCCGCGGAGGGGATCCCGGAGCGCCTCTGGGCAGTCCAATTGTAGTAGATCCAATAGCTGAGGCTTTAAGTGAGGCGAGGCGTGCAGCAGCAGAGGAAGCAGCAGAGGAAGCAGCAGAGGAAGCAGCAGAGGAAGCAGCAGCAGCATCAGCAAGGGCAGAGCTATTAGGAGTAAGGTCAGCAGCAGGAGTAGGGGAGGTGGCTGCTGCAGGTTATGGGCACTTGGGTGCTGCTTCTGCCGTTGCAGCAGCAGGAGCATCAGCAGTGTGGAGAAGGGCAACAGGAGCAAGAGATGACAGATTAGCAGCATCAGGAGCAGAAGGTGTAGGGGAAGAGGCAGCATCAGGAGCAGCAGCAGCAGTGGAGGGAAAGGCAACAGGAGCAAGAGATGACACAATAGCAGCATCAGCAAGGGCAGACGACCCGGGATTGGAATCAACACCACGAACAGAGGTGGCTGCAGCAGGTTATGGGCACTTGGGTGCTGCTTCTGCCGTTGCAGCAGCAGGAGCATCAGCAGCGGAGAGGAGAGCAGCAGAAGCCAGAGATGACACAGTAGCAGCATCAGGAGCAGAAGGGGTAGGGGTGAAGGCAGCACCTGCAGCAGCAGAAGGTGGAAGGGGGGAGGTATCACCTGCAGCAGCAGAGGGTGCAGGAGGGGAGAATTCACATGCAGCAGCAGAGGGTGCAGAGCAAAATGTACCTGCTAGCAGTGGTGCTGCGGCTGCTGCTAACACATATGCTCCTGTCCCCGCTGCAGAGTCTCCTGATAACGTTACAGGGAGGCGACGAAAGCATTGGAGGAGTCAGAAGGTCAACGCCAAAAGAACCAGAGAGGGTGTTCTTGAATGTACGGTACCAAGCGGTGACGTTTGGTGGAGTGTGGTATAGCATGGCTGGAGTGAATAAAACAAGCCGTGGTATGGCTGACATGGAAGAAGGGGAAAGTACTATGCAAACTTGGTCTGGGAGGGGCTGTGTGGCAAGGGCGCATTCCTACAGCCTCTTGTCGGCTGACCCTCGTATCAGACTCGCGACGCACTGCACTTGAGTGCGCATAATCGCATCAAATGCCACTGAGATGCATTGATGCATGCAAGTTTGAAGGTGTGACTGGTATTGGTAAGAGGCTTGCGAGTATTTAACACACGCTGCTATGTATGGCCGTGCAGCGCAAAAATATGTTTGTACCCTGAAATATGAGCTACTGGTTTGCTGTGGAGAAATATAATCATGGACCTATAGACTGGTACCGTCATTGCCCCTCGACGAAAGAGCAAACTAGTTGAATCTGAAAGAACATAGAATCACATTGTCATGGCGTCATGTTGGAATAGTGTAGCTATAAACAAACACTGCGCTGTGCGCCCACCTTATGAAGGGGAAGCACCACCTAGTTGATGGCTCTCCAAGCGAGGGAACGAGAGGCGGGACGTGAGGGAAGCACGGGGGAATGCTTGGGAGACGGAGAGTGCAAGCGGAGAGTAGACGGGAGACAAGAGGGCGAGCTGAGGGAGGGGAGCAAAGGAGACGGGGATAGGCGAGTGGAGGGTTGTTGGGAGGGCGAGGGGAGGGAGGGGAAGTGGAGGGAAGCAAGGGAGAAGGCGGGACCAGGGGAGGGAGAGCGGGACTTGAGCTGAGCCATGGTGTGAAGGAGAGAGTGCTTGAGGGTTGCAATGCGGCTGGCTCTTTGAGCAAGCTGCGTGGAGGGAGCAAGGAGAGGCACAATAGGGAAGAGAAGAATAAGCACAGAAAAGGAGCAGGAGGTTAAAGCGGAGATCAGGAGGGCGAGCGGGACTTGAGCTGGGCCATGGTGTGCAGGAGCGACTGCTTGAGTGTTGCGATGCGGTTGGCCCTTTGAGCAAGCAAGCTGCAAGGGGAGGAGACAGACAGGCAAGGAAGGAGAGAAAGGGTAAGGCGAGTAGCTGAGGTTCTAAGTGAGTTGAGCCGTGCAGCAGCAGAGGAAGCCGCAGCAGCATCAGCATCGGGAGCAGAGCACAGCACAACAGGTACAGTAGAAGGAAAACCACAACACAGCACCTAGTGAATTGTTATCCGGATTATTTTGAAATGGAACTTAAATACATGGGCTAGCAGGCAGCAGTCACACAATACAGGACGTGTTCTACTGACTTGTCCAACAAATCAATGAACTAAATCACACGAGTCGCTGCGCCTCCTCTGTTGCCAAGTCAAAGCCACGAAGACAATTCACCAAGGCAAGTGACAGAGTCATATACCGTAGGTAGGGCAGGATGAGCCTGGGCAAAGGTAGATGAGGGGGGTTGAGGGAAGGCAATGAGGGAGGGGGATGAGGGATGGGAAAACGAGGAGTGAAGAGGGCTGGAGATGACAGGTAGGGCAGGAGGAGCCTGGGTGTGGACGATAGTTAAGGGAGGTGGAGGGAAGATAGAGGCAATGAAAGACGGAGGGAAATCGGGAGATTTTTGAATTGGGAGAGAGATGACAGGGGAACAGGAAAGTGTGAGGGAGAGGAGAGGTAAGTTGGGAAAAGGAGGGGAGGGGAAAGAGGAAGGGGGGGAGCGGCGGGGAAGGGGGGGCTGTGAGGCGAGTGGGAAGGGGAGGGGATGAGGGGTTGTATAATGAGGGGTATGTACGGCTGGACATGATCGGATGGGGAATGGAGATGAAATGGGGAAAGAGGACGAGGGGTGAGAGAGAGGGTGATGAGGGGTGGGCGGGAGAGGAGAAAAGGGGAGCGGAGGTGACATAAGTGGAGAGCAGAGGAGGGCGAGAGGAGATCGGGAGAAAATGAAGGGGAGCGGGAAGATGAGTCGAGAGCGGGTGGAGACGAGCGAAGAGCAGAGACAGTTGGAACATGCCCCCCCCAACCCCCCTCCCCCCCCTCCTTTCCCCCCTTCCCCCCTTCTCCTCCCCTCCAATCCCTCTCTCCCCACACTCCCCTCCATCCACCCAACCCTTCCCTTCAGTCACCACCTTGTTCAAGGCCCAAAATCATGTGCATTCGCTTAATCGCCGCCGCCTTGGCTTGTTAACAGACGAACCGGCCGCACTGCCGACGCTAATCGCGCGTCTCCGAACCGAGGCTAATAATGCGTCCGCATGGTATGTGCTCATGGATATATGTAGTTAATGTGGTGCAAATCGATGCTAGTATTGTGTCCGCGAATGGTACTGTAGTCCCCGCGAATCGACGTTCCGCAATGCATCGATTTAAAAAACGCGTGCTACTGGCTACTGTGCGCAACTGGCGGTATTTGGTTCACTACCTGAAGCGGCGAAAATCAATATACGGCTGATAACAGCGACTACCGCCATCTGCGGTGCTAAGCAGTAACTTGCGCTCAGATACGTGAAGCCGCGAGGGAGGAAAAACAAGAACTGACGGTAAAGCGCTTAGATCTCAAATCTACCATAACAGAGACTGAAGAGATGGATTAGAGAAAATAACTATGACAAAGAAGCATCTCGCATCTATCGTTCGAACTAACTTGGAGAACAAATTCGCATCCTTGATTCCAGGGTGGTAACTATTATATAAATTTACATGTCATACAAGTCACGAAGCATCGCTAAGCTCCTAAAACTCTTCAACCAACTTCGTCGGCAGAACGCCAGCCGTTCGGCTTAGCTCCAAGCGTTGAACTGCTCTGTCCGTACAGTACGGCCAAGTGATGAGTCGCTTCACGAGCTGAGCTGCTTCAAAGAGTTGAACTGCTTGAAGTGTTGAACCGCTTGAAGAGTTGAACCGCTTGAAGAGTTGAACCGCTTGAAGAGTTGAACCGCTTGAAGTGTTGAACCGCCCGAACTTTGTCTTGAATTTGACCCCTCTTGGCCGCTTGAGGCAAAAGCCTCTAGCGTTACACCCGCACACCGCGTTGAGGTGGATGGAGGTCATTCGTGCGGGACCCTGTTTGGGAGGGGGGGGGGCAGTTTTCTTGGAAAAAGAGGAGAGGGAAGGTTAGTTTACTGCCCGCGGGCAGGATTAGATCAAGGGAATCCAAACACATCGGGACCCGATCCGTTCCCAAACACGCCTGATCGCGCCCAAACACACCTTACCGCGCCCAACCTTCTCTCTGATCTACAGTAACGCTCCTACTCGCCTACACGTGCCTAGCTAGCCCACCTGTACCTCCCCAACCTACAAACCATTCACCGCTGGTGCTCCCGCCATCCCCTTGAAAAGGGGAACGGGGAAGGGGGAAAAGGGGAGTCAAACTCCAGCGCCTCGCACCGCCGCTCCTCCGCGCTGCCGCTCTTCCGTCCGCCGTTTTCCCGCTCCGCCGCTCGTCCGTCAATCAACCCGCCGCTCGTCCATCGCTCCGCCGACTTCGATTCGTCGCGCCTCCGCGTCTCCCTCCTCTCGACTTCTAATTTCCTGCAGCAGAGCCAAAGACACCAAAGAGAGACGTTAGTGAATTCCAAACCACACACAAATGCTGAATGGACGATACCACCTGATACAAGCTCCCGCTCGTGCTCCCGCCGCTCCCGATTCCGCTCCAGCTCCCACCAGCTCCAGCTTCACAAACCAAGGAAAAACAAGAGGAAGTTAGTAAATGTGAAGGAAAAAAATATGTTAACTGGAACGACGAGCATACCAGGGAAGGGTGTTGTTCTTCCTCCGCGCTCCCGCTCCCTCGAGGATCCACGCGGATCCGCGCTCCTGCCACTTCACAAACAAAGGAAAAAACAAGAGAAAGTAGTAAGTAAACGTGAAGGAACAATAGAAGCTAAACTGGAACGACGAGCTTACCACGGCATGTTGTTCTCCCTCCGCGCTCCTGCCACTTCACAGACCAAGGAAAAAAAGAGAAAGTAAGTAAACGTGAAGGAAAAAAAAGAAGTTAACTGGAACGACGAGCTTACCACGGAAGGTTGTTCCTCCTCCGCGCTCCCGTTCCCTCCGCGCTCCTGCCACTTCACAGACCAAGGAAAAAAAGAGAAAGTAAGTAAACGTGAAGGAAAAAAAAGAAGTTAACTGGAACGACGAGCTTACCACGGAAGGTGTTGTTCCTCCTCCGCGCTCCCGTTCCCTCCGCGCTCCTGCCACTTCACAGACCAAGGAAAAAAAAGAGAAAGTAAGTAAACGTGAAGGAATAAAAGAAGTTAACTGGAACGACGATCTTACCGCGGAAGGTGTTGTTCTTTCTCCCGCTCCAGCTCCCTCCGCGCTCCTGCCCCTTCACAAACCAGGGGAAAAAAGAGAAAGTTAGTAAACGTGAAGGAAAAAAATATGTTAAACAGGAACGACGAGCTTACCACGGAATGATGGTTTTCCTCCCGCTCCCGCTCCCTCCGCCGCTCCTGCCACTTCACAAACCAAGGAAAAAAAGAGAAATTTAGTAAATTGAAGGAAAAGGAAAAGGAAAATTGAAAGGACGAGCTCACCAGGGAAGTTGTCGTTCACATAGGCTTGGTCGTCGTAGGCTTGGTCGTATTCTTGGACGTTGACGTTGACGAAGTCTTGGTCGAAGTCTTGGTCGAAGTCTTGGTCGTAGTCTTGGTCGTAGGCTTGGTCGTCTTGGTCGTCTTGGTCGTAGGCTTGGTCGTCTTGGTCGTAGGCTTGGTCGTCTTGGTCGGTCTTGGTCGTCTTGGTCGTCTTGGTCGTCTTGGTCGGTCTTGGTCGTCTTGGTCGTAGGCTTGGTCGTCTTCGTCGTCTTGGTCGTCTTGGTCGTAGGCTTGGTCGTCTTGGTCGTCTTGGTCGTAGGCTTGGTCGTCTTGGTCGGTCTTGGTCGTCTTGGTCGTCTTGGTCGTCTTGGTCGTCTTGGTCGTAGGCTTGGTCGTCTTGGTCGTCTTGGTCGTCTTGGTCGGTCTTGATCGTAGACTTGGTCGTCTTGGTCGTCTTGGTCGTAGACTTGATCGTAGACTTGGTCGTCTTGGTCGTAATCTTGGTCGTGGACTTGGACGATGACGTTGACGAAGTCTTGGAGGTAGACTTGGTTGTGGCCTTGGTCTTGGCGTTGACGTTGGTTGTTCTTGGTCGTAGCCTTCTTCTAGCTCTTCATTCCTGGAGGCTGCACATTGACCATGCCACGTCATACCATGAGTGAGAAAGGCCGAAGAAAGAAAACGAGACGAAAGATGACAAAACGGAAGATGACAAAACGAAAAACGACGACGAATCTGAGAGGCGTCGCCAGCGCGGTGCGAAGCGCCGCGCGACGGGTGAAGAGTCGCCATGCTCCCGCCGAAGCGACGCTGTGCGACGGGATACTCGTCGCCATGCCCTGGACGAAGCGACGCCGCACGACCGGAGAAGCGCCATCGACGGGTCTCCTCACCATCTGCAGGGAACAAGGAAAGCCGTTAGTTGAACCGTTGAAAGAAGGACGAATAACAGTAAAAAAACGCATCGAAACTGCTGATGGTATTATCGCGTTCTTACCATCCGGTAACCAAAGCGCCACTAGCGACGGTAAAACCGTCGTCAGCGGAACGCACCGTCGCCTAACGCCATGCGACAATGGAAGCGACCCTCGCGAAGATGGAAACACCATGCCTTGAAATCCCCTCGCGACGATGGAAGCGCCGCTTGCGAAGACTCGAGTCAAGCGTCGCCAAAGGGAACGCGAAGTTCCGCGCGGGAGAGTCGCCATGCGACGGAAATCGCCGCCGTCGTCGTTCAGAGAGGGCTCATCGCAGACGGTCGTTGGGCTCTCAAGATGGTCGCCTGCAGGGGTCAACGAAAAACGCGTTAGTATAATTCCCATCAGAAAATATTTAAAGCTTAGAAACAGAGGAAGTAAAAAAAAACGAAACGCTTCACGCGTAAAAAACGAAAGGGCTCTGAAACGGAGCCGCACTTACCTTCATTGTGGTGAGGCTTGAAAAAGAACCTCACTGAAGTTCCGCGGGACGGGATAGTCGTCATGCGAATCGCCGCGGTCGTCGTTGAGTGAGAGCTTGGACCGTCGTCGTTGAGAGAGAGCTCGTGCGATTGAAGGTTCGTCGGTTTCGGGTTCGTCGACATTCAAGGAGGTCATCGCAGATGGTCGCTGGGCTCTCAAGATGGTCGCCTGCAGGGTCAACAAAAAACGCATTAATATAATTCCCTTCAGAAGATATTAGAATCTTAGAAAGCGGCAATGTTTAAGACAAGCGCGAAAGTAGAAAAGAGTTCAAAGAGACTGCACTTACGCCAAGCGTCTTCATCTCTTCGTGAAGACGTGAAGACTTGACGCGCCACAGCGGCGAGGACAGGGAGAAACGCCATCGAAGGCTCCATCGGTCTTGTCTTTGGCTCTCAAGTCTTGACTTGGACTTGGAAGCGTCGAGACGGTCGGCTCTCGGGTCGTTGGCCTCTCAGAACGGAAAGGTTGTCGCCTGCAGGGAAAGCGATAAAAAGGGCGTTAACAAAACTCTTTCCAGAAGAATATCAAAGCTTCGAAGCAGAAGAAGTGTAATGCAAAGCTTATTTAGAGGATAACCAAGTATGTAAGAAGACTGTACTTACGTCAAAGCGTCTTCATTTTGGCGTGAAGCCGTGAAGAGCTGACGCGCCGCAACGGCGAGGACGGAGAGAAACGCCGTCGAAGACAACATCGGTCTTGACGTGGTTGAATGGCGCTCTGGTCGTTGGGCTCTGATCCAGCTTTGGCTGCTCCCCGTGAAGAATTCTCCGTGCATTCTCGTCGCGTACTGAAGATCTCGCCGCGTACTGAGAATATTGCTGTGACGAGTTCACGAGAAGGCTATCGCGGTGAAGGTGTTGCCGCGACAACCAACCAACCCAGGGCGTCGTACAAGGTTCCGACCATGGCACGCAAGCAGCTCGCTAGACTCTCTAAACTACCCAACCCACCCCACCCACGACTTCTAAACTACTCTACGCTACCTCAGCGCTGCTGCATGCCTGGTGTTTCCCCTTGTACTAGCCGGGTGGCTTCATGTAGAACGGACTGCTCCGTGGAGCAAGTAGCTTGAAGTCCGTATTAGAGAGCTTGTAAGGAAAGAGCTTCTCTGAACATTCCTTCGATGAGATCGTGAAGGAAAAATAATGCGAAAATGGACTCAGCCGTGGGACTATACCAGGTTTCGGTGGAAAGAATGAGCTGAGAGCAGAGCAGGAAAGATGCGTCTGCTGGAGGAAGGAGTAGCCGCCTTGATTTGCGCTTTGTGTTTGGTGCTTGCCGCCTCCCGCAGCGCGTTTTCAAATGAAATGTGATGGGTTGCTGGGTACAGAGGGATGCGACACGGCGCGGCTGCTTTTGTGCCCTGTGAAGTGCGGGAAATTTGTATCAGGTGGGTTGCAGGACACAATTTGAATGGATGATGGTGATGAAGACCGTAGCCGCCGCCAACGGCGGGGATTCGTTCGAGCTGTGCGTTTGGTAAAATGAATTCGCGGTTTGGAAGTGTGAAAAGCGGCCGAGATGTGTACATCACAAGCAAACTGCCTTGCATAACATCTAAAAAGTCTCAAATTCAAATTCGGAATGTACAGAGTCTGGTTATTCGGTTGGGTTTGGTTGTGCTGAGGCAAACGAATCATCTCAGGGCGCGTACTGTTTGTGGAAAGGTCTGGTTGTGCTTAGAGCTGGGGCAGGAAGATACATTTTTTAGGAGACTGACGTGGCACTTGCTGTTGAATCGAGAGGTTGAGTTATATAGTGAGGCTAGCGTGAGGTGCGGGATGGTGTTGAAATGGGCTAAATGATTTATTCGGCTGAAGTCTCGCGAGGTTTAGCTGCTCTCGCAACTCCCTTAGCTGACTGCGAACCAAATTGGGGCAGCTGAAATGGCGAGGGGTGGTTGAGGGAAAATCACGCGAGCGAATAGGAATCGAGGGAGGCACAACCACCGCGCCACATCAACCACCCTTCTTTAGCTCCTCCATATTCTCCCGTCATCATCCTTTCTTGGTTTCCAGTCTGTTAGATCTAAGGCGTTACCGCCGCCTCTTGGTTTATCATCCCGCACAGTTTACTATTAGTCGTGTTTACTATTAGTTATTTGACGTGGTGAGGTAAGAACCGCCAGTGATTAATGCTAGCATCGGCTTCAAGTAGTTACCGCCAATTGCGGACATCAGATCTTTGTTAGTCGCCAGTAGTCGGTACAAATTTTAAATTCTTATATATTACCGCAGTTGTACCGTTAATTTGCGGACGAATAATTATTGTTAATCTGCGCATGTTGATTCGCGAGCACGCTCCCATGCAGACACATCAGAGGCTTCGGTTCGTGCCCATCAGCGTCGCCGATACCGCCTACCTGATTTCGTTAAGCAGGTGTTAAAACGAAGGCGTAAATGACAGCGTTGCCACCCCGAAACGGTAGAAGAAATGGAGGGAGAAAGGTAAGAGACGTGAGTGTGTTGCGGGAATGGGAGAGAATGCGGGAAAGTGGGGGGAGGAGAGGAGTGGGGAGGGGGGGGCCAAAAGACATCCCTCATCTTGTCCCGCTCTCGCCTCATCCCTTTCCTCTCCGCTCTCCGCTCATTCCCCCCGCTCTCCCCTCGTTCCCCCCTCGCTCTCATCTCATCTCCCTCCTTCTCTTCCCTCAACTTCCCCTCCTCTTTCCCCATATAGCCTAATCCCGGATCTCCTTTCTCCTTCTCCTGCTCACCCCTCATCACCCTCTCACTCGCCCCTCATCTCTCCCGCTCTCCCCTCTTCTCCTTTCTCTCCCATCTCTCATTCCACCTCCACTCCCCCCCACCTCCCCCCACTTACCCCGCGTTTCTCCCCCGATCCGCTCACCTTCTTGCCACTCACACCCCTCAGCTTCTCCCCTCGTGGCATAACAACAGGGGGATGGAGTGGTGGAACAGCCGCCAGTGCTGCGACCAGGGGTATCTTTTGAGTACACGTATGTCTGCCCTCTAGACACTCGCAAGGTAGCCATGGTAAGTGCTACCACCACTGCCACCACTCACTGCTGCCTCTGCTTGCCCTGCCAATGCTCCTCTCTGCTTGCCCAGTTTCCATTTTTTGCTTCACCATTTTATCAAAAGTCAGTGCAGCGGCGGGAGCAGCATTGTCTATCGAGGCTGCTACAAACAAGAACGAGATGGATAAGTGGCGAGAAGTGCAAGTTCGGGATTCGTAAGCCCGTTGCGATCAAAATACACGCTGATCCTTGTAACAGAGGCGTGTTGCACCGCACCGCACCGCACTGGAGTGCGCGTAATTGCATCTGCACTGAAGGTGTGACTGATAAGAGATGTAGGAGCACGCCCTTACACATGCTGCTTTGTTGTGTTAAGATGTGCAATCCACCAATCTGTTTGTATCCTGAAGTATAAAGTGAGCTACTGATTTGCTGCAGAAAATTAAGTTCTATGAGCATTTCTACGAGACAATAGCAACCAAGTTGAATCTCGATAAAACTTAGAATCACATAGTCATGGGGTCTTGTTGGTTCCTATAGTGTAGCTATAAACAATCACTGCACTGTGCACCGACCGTATGAAGGGGAGAGATACGTGAATGAGAGGCCGGGCGGAATGGAAGCACGGGGGAATGCCTGGGAGACGGAGAATGCAGGCGACGAGCAGAGGGGAGACGAGAGGGCGAGTGGAGGGATGGGAGCTGAGGAGATGGGGATGGGCGAGAGGAGGGTTGTTGGGAGGGCGAGGGGAGGGAGGGGAAGTGGAGGGAAGCGAGGGAGAAAGCTGGTCCCGGGGAGGGAGAGCGGGACTTGAGCTGCGCCATGGTTTGAAGGAGGGAGTGCTTGAGTGTTGCAATGCGGTTGGCCCTTTGTGCAAGCTGCATGGAGGGAACGGGGAGAGGGAAGGATAGACAAGGAGAGAGAGCAGGGGTTAGGAGCTCCTCGCAATCAAGCTGCTTGTAGTATCTCCTCGCAGCTCCCCCGACTGCTGCATCAACTGCTGTTATTCACATCACAATCATGCCTCGGGAGGCAGGGGAATTAACAGAGACGAAACTAACCCACCTGATCCTTCAGGCTCGTGATATCTCCTCGCAGCTCCCCCGACTGCTGCAACAACTCGTCATCCCAATCCAGGTCCCTCCATTCCCTTGCCCCCTCTCTCTCGCCACCTCCACTATCCCGTACTTCCTTCTCTCTTTCACCACCCGCCTCCTCTGCCCCTTCTTCCCCTTCTGCCCCATCTGCTTCCTCGGACCTGCTTTCTCCAAGCTTTGTTTCCTCTAGATCTGCCTCCTGAGTCTCCTTCAAACCTCCCAACCCTTGCTCCCCCTGCCTCCCCAAATGCTGACGCTCCTGCTGCTGTAGCCTCAGAGCAGCAGCCAGCGCATGGCACGAATCCATCTGTTGCCCTAACAGCCGCCGCAGCTCCTCAATCTGCCCCTGCTGCCGAGACACGAGCTCCTGCGAGAATAGGGAGGGGAAGTTGTAAGGGAGCAACACAAAGGAAACAACACAATCAGCACGGATCAGAGCAGAGCAGCAGCGAGCGCATGGCACGCCTCCATCTGCTGCCCCAGCAGCCGCCGCAGCTCCTCAATCTGCCCCTGCTGCAGAGCCACGAGCTCCTGAGAGTGAACGGACAGGAATTCAAAGGGCACAACGCAAGTCAGCACGGGTAAGACCAGAGCAGCAGCCAGCGCGTGGCACGCCTCCATCTGCTGCCCCGGCAGCAGCCGCAGCTCCTCAATCAGCCCCTGCTGCCGAGCCACTAGCTCCTGAAAGAACACAGAGGGGGGAATTCAAAGGGAACAACACAGGCCAGCACTGGGAAGAACACAGGTTTGAGCAGAGCAGAGCAGCAGCAGCCAGTGCATGGCACGCCTCCATCTGCTGCCGCAGCAGCCCCAGCAGCAGAATGCAGGGCAGCAGGGATCAGAGCAGAGCAGCAGCAGCCAGCGCATGGCACGTCTCCATCTGCGGTGCTAGCACCCACCGCAGCGCCTCTATTTGCCCCTGCTGCCTAAACACAAGTTCCTGAGAGAACAAAGAGGGGAAGGTTAAAGACAACAATGGGAAACCATGGGTCAGCATGGTTTCAGCAGGGCTCATAGCAGCAGCGAGAGCGTGTCACGCCTCCACCTGCAGTGCCAGAACGGTCCGAAGCTCCTCCATCTGCTCCTGCTGCTGGAATGCCAGCACCTGAAGGAGCACCTGAGCCATCACCGTGGTAGATTCAGGTTGCTGAACCTGGTGGCAGGAGGAAGGCAGGTGACTTGACCCAAAGGCCCACTCTCACACAGGCATCAAATAAGTGATTCGAAAACGCTGAGAATAAACAATCTAATGTCTCAAAGCAGGCTCTAGCCTGAAGGCAGGGAGGGAACCTACTCAGAGGTCGCTGCTTGGTGATGGGCTGCCTGCACGAGCATGCAGACGCGTGTCTTCACACACTCACCACCAGGGCCTAAAGGCAGTGACATGGCGTTATAGCCTCTTGCCTGAAGCCAGGCCGGAACCTACCCGGAGATCACTGCTTGATGCTGGGCTGCCTGCATGAGCATGCAGACGCGTGTCTTCACACACTCACCACCAAGGCCTAAAGGCAGTGACATGGTGTTATAACCTCTTGCCTGAAGCCAGGCCGGAACCTACCCGGAGATCGCTGCTTGGTGATGGGCTGCCTGCATGAGCATGATGACACGTGGCGTGAGCCCAGGCCTGTGATCTGCCACGTGGAGAGGCTGATGCTGTGCCACGTGGCATGGCCATATCCTCCATATCATCACCGCCGTGGATGCAAGATGACCCCATGAAGTCAATCATGTGTTGGTGTTGAGACTCCTTAGAGCATCCACTCATAGCCACACCCAGTCTCAGCCAATCTGACGCCCCTTCCTCACTTCCCCTTGCCCCCTCCTCTCTTCCCATCTCCGCCTCCTCTCCTTCCTCCTCCCCCTGCTCCCCTATCCCTGTCCTCCTCGCTGACTCCTCATCTCCCTTCTCTCTCCCCAAATCCTCCTCTGAATCACCGTGTATTGTTCCTTTCCCCTGTCTCCCTCCCCCTCTCTGTCCCCCACCTCGCCCCAGTGTCAAAGCAGTAAGATCTGAGTCCTCATGCTCAGCAGAAAAAGGCCTCAAAGATTTTCCACTCTCGGACTGCCCCCAACGTGCATCCACGCCCAACGAACCTTCTCTGTTGCTTCCATCACCACTCCTCTCACCAGAACCCCTCGCACTGCCCTCCCTTCCGCTGCTTCTCACAATGCTACTCCCACTGCTGCTGCTGCTGCTGCTGCTGCTGCTGCTGCTGCTGCTGCTACCCTCTCTGCTGCGCCCTCTGTCACTCTCGCTGCTACTGCACCCTCTGCTGCTGCCAGCACCACTGCTGTACCTCCCCCCTTTGATCAGACCCATCCTTCCCTCCCTGCTGCTCTCCCCCACACTCTCCCTCACATCCTCCTCCACGTTCCACCCGCTTCCCACGCTCTCCAGCGCTCCTTCGCCCCCCCTCCTGACCCATGGGAGCCTGTGTGTCTCGTGCCCAGACACCCAACCCTCACTCTGCTGCTGCTGCTGATGATGATGGTGCTGCTGTGGCTGAAACTGCTGCTGCTGCTGTTGCTGCTGCTTCTGGTGTGACTCAAACTGCTGCTGCTGCTGCTCCGGAGGGTGCAATCTGGGGCTCCAGGCTTGGGGCATGAGTGAGATAGGCGAAAAGCGATGCTGCTGCTCCTGCTGCTGTTGCTGCTGTTGCTGCTGCTCCTGCTGCTGTTGCTGCTGTTGCTGCTGCTCCTGCTCCTGTTGCTGCTGTTGCTGCTGATCCTGCTGCTGTTGCTGCTGCTGCTGCTGCTGCTGCTGCTGCGGAGGGTGCAATCTGGGGCTCCTGGCTTGAGGCATGAGTGAGATAGGCGAGAATCGATGCTGCTGATGATGCTGGTGGCGCTGCTGCTGCTGTTGCTGCTGCTGCTGTCCCGTCTCCTGCTGCTCCTGTCCCCACTGCTCCTGCTGCTGCCCTTCATTCCGAGTCAACCCAGCAGCCTTCTCTTCAGTCAGACCCACGCTGCTTTCCCTGATCCCTACTTCGCTAACAGCCTCCTCAAAAACTTCACAATCTGTCCCCTTTCCTTCCCCCGTAAGAGCTGATTCGAAAACCGTCAAGGAACCAGACCCTGCTTCGCTAGCAGCATCCTCAAATACCTCACACTCTAACCCCTCCATTTCCCACCCTCCACCTTCTCCTCCCTCTCTCTCCTTCTCCACTCTCCCCTCTTCACCCCTCCCTCCCTCACCCCTCCTTTCCTCAACCCTCCCCTCCTTCCCAGACCTCCTCTCCTCTTCTACCTTCCCTTCTCCTTCAACAGCATTTTCTCCCACCTCCCCCTCTGCACCTCCTTCCCTCCATTCTCCTCCCTCATCCTCCCTCCCACCCAGCCCCCCTTCACTCCACTTCCTTCCGCCCTCCTCTCCTCCCTCCCTCTCTCCCTCCCCTTTCACCTCCCCCGCACCACTAGTCCTGCCAGAACTCATCTCCGCTTCAAAGGACGCCAGGAACCCCACCAGTGAAACAGAAACCCCTTCTGCTACCACTCTTGTACCTACCACTGCACCCCCTTGCGCCATACCACCCTCTCCCGCTGCCGACTCGTTAGTGGACGACTCAATATCAGTGAGATCCGGCATACCAAAGCCCGAATTTTCCACACGTCTCCCCCCTTGAAACCAATTTGCGGACACTCCCCACGGCCCTGATTCATAGATACACGGAGCATCAACGTTCCCAGCTGGCCCAAACTCTCCCTGTGTCTCCCCAGTCATCTCAGAACCTTCCTCTAGGATGCTGGGGAGGGCAGCAGACAAGCGCCGATCTCCCCGCACCCTCTGAATCACATCAAGCTCTTCATGTGAATCACCATAGAGAGACCTATTCTCAACCTCCCTACGGCCACTCTGCGTTCCCTCCGCAAACTCTTTCTCAGGCGTCTCGAAACTCTGACTCCCCTCCTGAAACTGATTCTGACACGTCTCAAAACTCAGGCTACCCTCCAAAAACTCCTCTCCACACTCCCCAGCCATCCACTTGCCACTGCTTTCTCTCGTCTCAATCATCCAACCACCAGTGTGGTCCCCACCGTCAGCCACCCACCTTCCTGTGCTCTCCCCTGGTCGCACGTCCCAACCGCCTGTGCTTCCCTCCCCGTCAGCCACCCACCTGCGTGTGCTCTCCCCACCGTCAGCCACCCACCTGCGTGTGCTCTCCCCCGGGCCAAACACCCAATCCAGCACCAGTCGGTCCATCCCAGCCCTCGCTGCACACCTCTCCAGCTCCACCGCTGCTGCTGCCGCCGCCGCTGCTGCTGCTCCTGCAGCGGCTGCTGCCTCGTCCTTTTCAGCTGACGCTCGTGCCACGCTTACTATCCCTCCTGTTGCTTCTGCTGTCTCTGATGCTGCAGCTGCCTCTGCTTCTCCTGCCTCTGCTGCTGCCGCCCATTGCATGTTAAGGCGGTTCGCTGCTGGCCCATGCATGCCATGCTGCTGCCTTCGCCTCACACGTTCCCCATGCACCCCATGCTGCATCCCATGCTCCCCATGCCTCAAACCCACTCCACGCCTCCCATGCACCCCATGCACCCCATGCACCCCATGCACCCCATGCATCCCATGCTCCCCATGCCTCCTCTCTCCTCTTACCCCACCCATCACTCTCCCCCTCTTCTCACAGCCGCACACACACGGGCCACTACCCGAGTGGTCCCTTAGCCGTGCCTCAGATTCACCAAGTCCCTTAAGCCCCTCCCTGCGGCTCTCTCGAGTTCTCTCACAGCCTCCACGTGGCAGGCCACGATTGGCAGCTTCTGCATGCGAGCACTCGCCAGCCCCTGCCTCCCCGTCCTTGTAGCGAAACCACGCGCCTTGCACCCCCTCGTGCTCCTTATAACGAGTCAATCTCTGCTGCTCTTCCCCGAGGTCCTTAAATCGAGTCATTGCGTGCCCCTCTTCCTCTTGGTCCTTATAACGAGTCACTGCGTGCTTCTCTCCCTCACGATCCTTGTAACGAGTCAGGGCGCCCTCCATGAGATGCAGAGAGGCCACCCACGCCACTGCCTTGGCAGCAACGATGCACGCATAGGCGCTCTGGGAGGCGGGAGCACAGTAACAGGGATGGGAGGGAGAGGAAAGGGCAAGACGAGTCAGGGCGCCTTCCATGAGATGCCACCCACGCCACTGCCTTGGCCGCCACGATGCACGCATAGGCGCGCTGGGAGGGGGGAGCGCAGGGGACACGGATGGGAGGGAGTGGAGAAGACAAGGTGAGAAAAGTCGGGCATTGGGAATAGGAGGGCGAGGGGGAGCAGAGGGACGCGGAGAGAGACAGAGAGGTGGAGAGAGACAGAGAGGTGGAGAGAGACAGAGAGGTGGAGAGAGACAGAAAGGTGGAGAGAGACAGAGAGGTGGAGAGAGACAGAAAGGTGGAGAGAGCGATATAGATGGGGGGGAGGAGGGAGCAAAAGAGGGAGGAAGGAAGGACGAGAAGCACGGAGTGAAGGAGGAGGGACACAGAGGGAGTAAGGAGAGAAAGATTGAGGAAGAGAGATGCGGGTATGGAGGGGAAAAGAGAGCTAAACCAAGAAAGATAAGGGGGAAAGGTGGGGAGGGGGCGGAGTTGAAGGGAGTTCTCACCACACACACGCGAGCCTCAGCACTTACGCAGAGGGCGGATGCCACGTGGCAGGGAGAGCGCCACATCATGCTTAAAACGAACGATCTGGACCCATCTGCCGCTCCCGTTAAGCTCTCCCCCGTTATAAGAGACTCCAAAAAAGCCATCTCCATTCTACCCCCATCGCTCCACCATTCGTTAGAGTCACCAAAGCCACAGCCACCAACGTCATCACTGACGTTACCATCCACCTCATCACCAACGCCATAACACAAGCTCCCACCATCTCCACCCTCCCATCCTGCGCCTCTCACTCCCTCCATGCCCCACAAATCCCCTCCTCTCCCCACACCCCATGCCTCCAACCCGGCAGGTACGGCAAGATCCATGCCTGCCACCAGCCTCGGCATTCCCAAGGCACTGATGCTTTGGCTGCTGTTGCCGCTGATACCAGTGATGCCAGTACCAGCGCCCCTGATACCACTGATATCACTCATTCGCCTGCGAAAGTAACCATACTCGTGTCTCTTCGCCCGGTCCGCTAGTTCCGCCTCGCCCGGATTCCCTGCCGTATCCGCGTATTCGTTGTGACTCGTCCCCGTCACTGTAAGCGAAACGGAGCGCACGATACCGCGTCCAGGAGGCCGGCTCCTGGCCGTATCTGCACCTTCCGCAGGACCCCAACTTCCCAAGTCCGCATTCCCGCTATTCGCTCCTAGCGCGTCCGCATTCCCGCTATTCGCACCTAGCGCTGACGCTGCTGACGCTGCTGTGCTGCCTCTCTCCACGCATCCTTTCTGCTCCGCAACTGGGTTTGAGGTCCCGGAATTTACGGGTTCGCTGCGCTTACCCACCAATCCACGCACAGGGAAGAAATGCTTCAGCTTGCTAAAGAACCCGCGACCTGAGGGCCGGACTTTCCACTCCGTTTGAGTGCCGTTGCTTGTTCCTGTAGCGAGAGAAGTATTAGCTAGAGGCGAAGGAATTTCTGTCGGCTTTCCTTGTTCGTGCTGATGTGGACGCTGATGCTGCTGACGTGGATGCTGGTGATGCTGTTGGTTCTGGGGATTACGGTGCGCCTGAGCGATCTTCGCTGACCGCGGTTCGCTCCCTAGTTTACCCGCGGGTTGCGTTGTCAGGTTCGTTCGGTCAGCCAGCGGGTTTGGTTTCCGCGATCCGTCTGCTGTGGAGCTCTGAGGATTGCTGTTGCTGGAAAGACCATGATTCGAGTGACTGTGACCGGAGTGATTATGATGAGAGCTGTGGGCAGGGTGACAGCAACCGGTGCTCTTACCGGAAGCTCCAGGCCCAAAAAAGCCGGGAACCATACCAGGAATTTGGCCGTAAAGCGCGCTGCTACTGTAGCAACTATTGGACGGACAGTCTTCCCGCACGCGGCAAAAGGGGAACGACGCGCCGTCGATACTCTCGAGGCGGCTCGGAGAGGGGAATTCCCGAGGCGGGAATTCTTGATGAGAGTCCAGGACCGCGCTGCTCTTGCGACGCTCTCTTGTAACGAATCGAGCGCTACATGTGACTGTAACGGGATCGAGCACCGTGAGGCGGTGCTCTTGGCCTGAGTCAAGGGTCGCCATAACAAGCAACGAAGAAGCAGCTGACGGGAAATATGATGTTCAGTTGCTGCTTCACCAACCTTAACCTTAGCCGCAGTCTAAGGAGGCCTAGAAAGAATACTGTCAGAAAAAGGAATCCGTTAACGCCGGGGAACACTAGTGTGGGCGCGCTAAAGCCATGGCGTCACGGCTGCAGCTGAGGAACACTACTATTTCTCAACGTTGAAGCTTCACACCTCTCTAGTCTTCTTGATTAAACTAGTGCGCAGGGGTGACTGGAGCAAATGATTCTGTTGAGCTCCACGGTCACGTACGATGCTGTGCATTGTAAAACGGTTCCAGCATCTTTTCACCGCTACTCACCTTTCTGAACATTGAAACGGAATTCGTGAAGGAACCTTTTTACCTGGGATGGGAAGGAGCGTGGCTGCCAATCACGAAAGCGACGCGGGACGAATTTTCAAGGAGTCTGCAGCAGCCATGTCTCTGATTGGCTTGGCTGGCGGATGTTGCGAGGTTGAACTGTTGCAGACTGAACTAAACGGAACGACAGGAGGCAATTTCAACGGTGGCGGGAAACCGACTGTCAGACAGTGCAGGGCTGGCATTGCGCGCCAGAAGTGTACAGAACCAGAACCACGAATAACCCGTAACCACAATCGTAACTGTTTCGTGGCCATGCGAGTGTCGCGAAAGCACATCCACAACAGCGAAGGACTGGGCATATGAGCAATCAGCCCAAGTCCAATCCGCTTTAGCACGGGCAAACGCACAACCCCACTGACAGCTACCAGCATATTTTCATATGGATTGTTGGTGAATTTCTCTGTGTTTACGTAACATCCACTGCCATTGTTGTTGCCATGCTAGCTCATTGCATATAACCGAATGGGCCACCACAAATTATACCACCACACATCACTACGAACTGACGAACAACTTCCTTCTACACACTACTTAACAATGCGACCAGCTTTCGAAGCTAGCAAACCAGCCGGAGAGGTGCGGACAAGTTTGGAAGTGTGAAGGAGGAGCGATCTGATGGTGGTGGAGCGAGCCAGAGGTTGACCATGGTGATGACAGGTATGTGCATGGATTGCAGTTTGGATGTGCTATGCCATGGTGCTGTTGGGGAAACGGGAGGAGGGCACAGGCAGTGAAAAGAACAAGTTGAACAGTGAGAAAGAGCGAGAGGCCAAGCGAAGAGAAGGTTGGATGGGGCCTGAAAATAAATGGTGACTGCAATTGATGGCAGGAAAAGAGCAGGAGGGGTAGAGAGCGAGGAGCAAGAGCCGCTGCATCACAAGGGGACAGAAGTACAGATTTACAGAACGGAAAAAAGGGAGGGAGAAGGTGGAGCGCGGAGGGAGTGGGGGAGGGGGATATTGGGTGCTTTAGAAGGACAAAATTGTCATAAGCAAAGATGCAATTCAGACCGTCATACCTAGGGTGCGGAAGCACACAGCGTCGCAGCATTTACTTCTCAGACGAGTTAGGGCCGCGCTTCTTGCCGAATCCCACCACTGCACGGCGGAGGGAGGGGAAGATGGCAGGGGGGAGACGGAGAAACGAGACGGAAAGAGGTAGGAGATTGTCAAGGCACACAAGCAGCACTCAGCGTTGTTTCGTGTGATTGTAGACCCACGCTGATTTGCCAAATTCCAACCAGTGTAAGACAGAAAGAGGCGATAGGGAGAGGGAGAGGAGGGTGAGCTGGCGGGCGTGAGAAGGCAGAACGAGCAGTAGAGGTAGTTCGCCGCCCACGATCCTGGTTACACAGGCTCACGCCTTACGCTCGTAACACAGGCTCGCTTTTGACAAAGGTCATGCCTCACGCCCAAACCACACGCTCGTGACTCACACTCGTAATATAGGATTGTAACGAGGAGTTTCAGTACCGTCCCCCCAATCTCTTCCAATGATAAACTAACCCTGGTTGACGTCGCCATACATGCGAAACTGCTGCGACCCTGCGCGACGCTGCTGCGACTCCTGGACGAGATCGCTGCTAAATAGATCGCAGCCCTGTCACCGAGTGGGACAAAACCCAGTTCAAACTCTCGTCGGAGGATACAACAACTAATTTACTCCCTCGGTTTGCATCTGCGCGACCTGACCTTATTGAAGACTGCTTCTGTCGTTCAAGCAGACTCGATACCTGACCTAATCAGGCCGTTGCTGCTGCCAGAAGGAACAGCAAGAGCTCCTTTCTACCCGCAGCGCTCCCTCAAACGAAAGTTACGCAGTGGCCCCCCAAGCGAAGGTGACTACAACGGGTGTGCGCATATTGGCGGTGACAAAGCGGTGGTTGTACTGCATGCGCTTGTGCGCTTGCATGTAGGGACGACAACAGGTGCGCGCTAGCCTGCAGTGACTATAAAGGACGCGCGCGTATCGGCGGTGACGAAGCGGCGGCGCTAGCCTGCAAGGTCTGCCTTGAGTCGACTCAAAACACGTACCGGCGGTGACGAAGCGGCGGTTGTACTGCATGCGCTTGTGCGCGCGGCCCTTGGGCTGCTTCTTCTTGTCCTGCTTCTCCACCTTGGGCGTCTGCCCGCGCACCTTACCGGCACGCGCCAACGATCCGTGCACCTTACCTGCGCGCAAACGCGGCGGAGAGGGCGAAGGGGATCAGGGGTGGCGGGGGGGGGGGGAAGAAGGGGGAGAAATGAACACGAGCCCGAAGCAGGGGAACGGGAGATGGGAACACAGGTAATTGGGATGGGGGGGGAACAAGAGCACAATTGTCCTGCGCGTCGGGCGTGTGTCCGCGCAACTTGCCGGCGCGGGCCAACAATCCGTGCACGTTACCACTGAAGGGAGTACGGGGAAGGAGGGAGAGGTTGAAGGGGAGGGGGGGGCGAAGGAAAGCGTTGAGTGGGTATGGGAAACGAAATGGAGGGGAGTTGTGAGAGATGTTGGCCCTAAAACACCAGGGGGTGGAGGGGAGTAGGGGAAAGATGCGAGTGTTTAAGTTTAATGGGCGTCTTCCCTTGGCAACGCGCTTTTAGGGTTAGGAAAAAAAAAGGCCGTGGACCGACTCCCAAGTTCCTCTAAGGCGAGGGAGTCGGTCCACCGGGGAGAGGACGACGACGGCGACTACAGGAAGACGGCCGACACAGGAAGACCACGAAACGACAGAAAGAATTCGGAGTGGATTGACATGACAGATCGCACGAGAGAACGCCGCTGAACGACTGGACACGATCGCCAGGGATAGCTCTAGAAGGATAACAGCTCTGATACGGACCGAATGAGATCCATTCTTAATGCTGCGGTAAGCTTGGTCGAAAGAGGTCAATATATGGCAAGAGGTGAATGTAGACACGAGCATCAACTTCGGCGTCACAGACACGAGTGAACTACCCAATCAGCAAGCGATTCGGACATCAGGCACATACAAGGTCAGGGTTTCTGGTTTAATAACACGATTCACCTCTCAACCAATTTGCTACAAGACGAAATACTGACTGCCTCTAAAAGGGATTTAACTCACTCATGGTGAGAAGTAGAGTCGCGACGTCGCAAGCAACGAAGGGAGCGGCGGCACGGGAGTGCAACGAGCTTAGGGGAGGAGACTAAAGCCGCGAAAAGAGATCTTGGAAAAAGGAGTGGGCGGAAAATAAGACGAGGTGAGAAAGCCAGAGTAGGGGCGCGTGCGGAGGTTGAGAACGCACTGGCGCGCGGAAAAGCGCAGAGAAGCGCGGAGGTGGTGGAACGGGGGAGGGAGTTGTTGCGGAAAATACCTGGGATCTGGGCGGAAAAGTAACACGGGGTGTGAAAGGGGGAAATTGTACATAGACATCTAGGGGTCTGGGGGAGGGTGTTTGAGGTTGATAGCGGGTGGCGGAAGCAATGTTTATACTCGTTACAGCTGAATGCTTTTGCAGGTGGTATCAGAGTGCAGTGTAATCTTAGCATGTATGCAAAAAGTTGCTTTCGATGTTTTTGATGTGTACTGATGTCTGCCAAGATTATCCATCAGCGAAGGTACCAATATCAGCTCGAGAATCGGACAGTCACCGCTCTGCACCGTATGGTAGCCCACTGTGACACAAAATACCACGTACAACGCCTTTTAGAGTACAGACTTTGGACTCGTCGGGGCTGGACGTACCACCACAACCCTCGTGTTTGTATGTTTCGTGAATCCTCTGTGCTGCGCAACCATGCCTTGGTCGCCTTGCGCTGCGGTTTCTTTTGCAAGCATACCAGTTCTGAAATCGTACCATTTCGGTGACTCGGTGACTCCATGCGCTGTGCTCGGGGAAACCAAGGTTCGGCTGACGAGGAAAATTAGGCAAGACTTTTTGCCAAGACTCTTCGAATTATCGGTGTCTCTAGTAATTTTTGCTGATTGGAATCTGTTTTTGGTTTAACCAGGACGCGACTCGGTAACGCCTAGAGCAGCTTGACTAGCGAGGACGGGGGCGGTTATAAGGCAGAATTGGTACACTCTATCGAAAGCACCGTACGACGTCTTGAACGCCAGCTGTCGCAAACGCGCGACGCCTTGAACGCCTGCAGTCGCAAACGCGGGACGCCTTGAACGCCAGTAGTCGCTAACGCGCGGTGGGAAGCGGATGGGTTCCCGCGACGACGGCGGGGATCCGCAGAGCACAGGCGGAGGCGCAACGCTGTGGGGAAAGCTGGAGGAGACATGCAGGTGTGTGGTGGTGGGGAGGAGAGTGGGTTGGGGGAATGGTGGGGAAGATGGGTTGGGGGAAAGGGGAGGGGGAGGTTGCGCGGCGACACTTTCCTGGAACTACATTCACCCTCTCCTCCCCCCCCTCCTTCTCCCCCCTCACGCGCTCCCCCCCCCGCTCCTTGGCTTGAGAAGCCCCCTGGCAAGCCCAGGCCTCACGTGGTACAATTCCATCTGAAAAAGGCGATCCGTACCTGTGCCGAACCACCTCAATTGTCCCCTCTCAGGTATTACACGGGCCTTCCCAAGCCTCGCGTGGAGGCTCGGGTGGTGGAGTTCCGATCCGAGAGGCAGTTTGTGTCGCTGCTGCAGCAGGGAAAGCCGGTCGCCGTGGCCTTCACCTTTTCGTGAGTGCCCTGCGTGCACCTTCACCATGTAGCTGTGCTGCTGGGTAGGTGGTGCCGCTGCTGTCGAGAGGCAGTTTGTGTCGCTGCTGCAGCAGGGAAAGCCGGTCGCCGTGGCCTTCACCTTTTCGTGAGTCTCGCGTTTACTGTGGCTGATTTGACACACAAGGCAATGTGTTCTGCTGCATCAGCCTCACACGTGTCATTCACCTTCTCCTGAGACTTGCATCTTGCTGAGTCGCATGTGAGGGGGCTTGAGGATCAGTCAAGTGCAGGGGCAGCACATTTTACCAGCCTGTTGACACCGAATCTGTTGGTGACAATACTAAGCACCAGCATGTGGCCTGGTTCTATTAAAAAACCTTTGTTCTAGCGCCAGTCGCGTAGGACCATGCTGACTCAGAAAAACTTGTGCTCACTCAGAAAAAAATTGTGCTGACTCAGATAGGCTTGTGCTGAGCCTCCACCACCCTTCTTTCTGTCGCCTTATCAGCATTCCCTTGTTCGTCCTGAGGTAATTTTTTAGACAACTTCAGACACCTTCGATACTTTTGGGGATTCTGAGATTTCTGAAACTCTTGTCGCATTTGCATTTAAATCCTCCCTTGTTCCTGAGCCTTCCGCCTCATCTGCACTTACCCCCCTCGTTTTGTTGCCCTTGTCACTTTGCTACTCCCCGCACACAACGTTTCTGAGGCTTCATACTTGCGTCTTCCTCCCCTGCTCTCCTTTCCAACCTGCAGCTGTGCACACACTCGTCACTTTGACGAGGTGTTTCGACAAGCATCAGCTGACCTCCATCCCCATGTCAACTTCATTCGGGTAAGCATGGTGCCCTGCCCACGAGTGTCCTCCCATCGCCCATGCCCCCATGCTAGTGCTCCCTGATGCTCCCTGATGCTCCCTGATGGTCCGTGAACTGTCAGCTGACCTCCACCCGCATGTCAACTTCATCCGAGTAAGCATGCTGCTCTGCCAATGCTGCTCCCCCCTTGCTGCTCCTTCCATGCAACCGGCTCTGTTCACTGCTGATCGCGTCTATCGTTCGCGAGTTTGCTTACAAGCACTGGCCATGCCCGGATGCTGTTTCAAGGAAATTTTCAGACATCTATCATTTCACAAGTACGCTTCCAGTCACGGCTCATTTTCAAACGCTGTTTCAAGCCCTTCAGTCATGCCTCACATTTCACGAGTGCGGTCCCATTCGCTGGCCATCCCCAGATGCTGCTTCATGCACATCAAAACTCTCTCGTTTTGCATGGCTGGCAGGCAGAGGGTCCAAGTTTTGGGCCTTTTTAAAACGTGAAGTTTCATGAATGTTCGTTCAAGCAGCTCACAATGCTCTTTGGTGGCATGGGTGGGTCATGGCTGGTGGCATTACTGGCAGGTGGATTGCCCCAAGCACCTTGGCTTTTGCATCGCTCGACAGCGCAAGGACTACCCCTTTATAGAGGTCTTCTATAACTCGAAAGAGGCGCAGCCGCAGCGGGAGTTGTTCGCTACAGTGTCATGGTTCTGCCTGTAAGTCATATGAAGTATGGTCTGTATCTGGTAACTTATGCTGGACCGATGTATGATTTTCTTCTAGTAGCGACCTGGTTGTTTTCCTGCTTCTTGTATGGTAAGTGTTTGTAACATAGCTGCCCATATTCATCTCTTTTGTTGAAAGGACTGGTTTTGCCGCTGTGTCGCGGGCCTTTAGTGCGTTCTTTGCATCTCTCTGGTTACTATCATTTGCCTTATTTCCATTTTCCCCTTTTCCCCTTTTCGTGGATTTTGACAAATGCAGTACAACTATGACGTTAGCGATTATGGTTTTAGAGAATTCTTCAAGAAGCATCAGTTAATTTCTCCTATTTTCTTGAAACATAATAACGGTATTCATAATTTCAGTCAGTGACAACTGTAAATTGCTCATTGAGTCAGCCTTGCATTTGTATACCAGCACTAGTGCTGATTGATTTATGTTTGGGTATGGCAATCGCTGGGAGTAATAGAAACTAGTTCATTCCCTCCACTAAATCTCAATCGAGGTGCTTATTATAAGGACAGCTGCAAAACACTTCACTTGCAGCGCACGTCAATCACTCGCTAATTGGTCACCAAAGAGAGCAGTGCGTGCTTCTAGGTGGAACTTGGCTGTGCGATATTTTCAGGCTCATCGTACGGCACGATGCGATGGCAACAGATGTGGTTTGCCCATCGCTTGTGAAGCATCCTCCCATTGCTTCATTGGTTGTTGACCCCTCACCTCGACGTGACCAGCACATCAGTGACCATGCGACACATCGGCGTCGCCAACACCATACGTGCGACCCATGCCCCACGGCGTCGTCTTGTGGGCATGTCTCTCGTGATCACCTCTAGTGCGACTCGCTTCGGCTGCTGCGAGAGTGCTGCACGGAGGGGCATTTGTTCTCTCGGTCTGCCCTGCGAATGGGCGGGCAGCGCTGCGGCTGCGCCTCGTACTGTCGCGGCGGCACCTGCTTGGTGCACGCTGGCGCAAGCTCATTCGTCCGCGCGAGCCAGCACGTTCCGCCCGCAATATCTTGAAACCCTCATCTGCGGAACCCGTCGCAATGGTTGCACGCAACTCTGAATCCCTTCCGCGTGTGGCTTACCCCAAAACGGGCAGCCAAGCGCAGCGAGAAATGGTGATCTTGCCCGAAATGAAACAAAAAGAGGCTTCTGAGTGGAGCGGAGTTTTTCTGAGCGCCTGACCTTGCAAACTCCCACAACTACTCCTGACCTGATCAGTCCGTGACACGAATTTGAATCTCGGTTAGCTCGCAATTTGTTCCGCTCCGCCCCACATTACCTAAAAGAGAAAGGAGACGTCGCCGGTTAACCAGAGGCCACTGCGGAACGTGCGCGGAGTGCGTGCGAAAAGTTAACCTAGTGACGCACACTCAACAGGCGAGACGACCAGAGCAGACAAGCAGAGCGTAGCAGGAGAGAGAAAAGCAGCAGCAGCGAGGAAACGAAGCGGAAGGCCCAAAAGGCCCCAGAAGTGCCCCTCCCTCTGCGTCAACGACTTGCTCCCACGAGCAAGGATTAGAGGTCTAATAGAACTGCCTACCTGCCTCCGCTACTGGTGCTGCTAGGGTTTCGCTAGCTCGTTAGGCCGGTCGTTCCGCGTTACAAAATTTAGTGCGTTAATACCTAGATTTTTTCTTGTCAGCCTCTGCAAATGCAATGGCGACATGTTGACCAGAACCGATTACACCAGGTTTCCCGCGTGCTAACACGCATGGGCCTTTAGATGGACATTCAAGAAGCGTCCAAAATCCTCTACTCTCGACTGCAAACACTCGAAGGAGGCAACGCGTCGAAGCTACTCGGGTGGATGCTCATGCGCGAGAATGCTGACCAGGACCTAGAGGCGCTCGCGAAAGGCTCCGACGCGCAGCTCATGTCGGCCATTGGGATCGCGAAGCGGAACCTCAGCGTGTACTCGTCCATACCGGGATGGCAACACCAGGTACGCGGGCTTTCCCTTTTGACGCGCCTCGAAAGTCGTGTCCGTTGGGTCTACGAAGCGAATTTTTAGTGTGTGCTCGTCCTTAGGAGGATGTCACCACCAGTTGACCCCTTAGTCCACCTTTTCCGTTTGCTCTCGCGTTTCTCGTTTTTTTCTTCTTTTTGGCACGGAAACTGGAGCCCCGAAATCTCGGTGCCAGTAAATCGTGGCGGGCGATTAAGCTTTAATCCGCGAGACCGTTCTAAAGCCGTGTTTTGTTATTCTGCCTGGGGGGGCGTGCATTGGGGGTGCGCTACAGGGGGTTCTGGCGGAAATCCGGCTTCAACAGGAGAGCGCGGCGTGCGTTGCGCGACAACGAACCGCCGCCGCTCAGTCCTTCGCTCACCAGGCCCACCCGGCTTCCACAGAGAGGTACTTATCATCTTCTGTTTTTGGATTACCATTCAAATTCTCAAACCGCAGCGACTTATTTGTTTTTTTTTGTTTTTGTTTTTTTCTTTTTCTTTTTTCTTTCCCGGTCCGCGCCACTTGTCCCGTTCATTTTCACTTCTCTTTCAACCTGCCAGCTCTGTCAACCTCCCCCCTGAACTTCCCGTGGCCCCTACAACTTACCATGGCATGCTCGTCCCGTTGTCTTTTTGTTTTTATTTTCTTATTTTTCTCGGTTGGATTTTTTTTTCTCTCTCTCTTCTCTCTTTCCCGTTTTCCGCGCCAGGTTTCCTCATTCCGACCGTTTCTCTTCCCCAACGGAAACAGCCCTCGTGTCGCTCTCCCCCAATACGCCCCTCGCTGAACCAACCGACTCTGCCGCCGCCGCTGTTGCTCCCGGAGATGCTGCTGCTGCTCCGGCGGGAGCGCGACCAATCCCCACGGATGCCCCAGCAATTCCCCACCTGACCGCACTTCACGGCGCAAGTGGCGCTGCGAGCGACTACGGCTCGTCGCCTGAGAGTTCGCAGTCTTTCATGTTCAAGCGATGCCATTATTTCGCACGCGGATTCTGCAAGCATGGAAGCGCGTGTCGCTTCCTGCACGCGTCGCACGGCCAGTCGGCGACGGCGCCCGTGTCGTCGCCGGGGTCGCCCAGTGCGACGAGTTCGGACGGCATGATGGCGGCTGCGACGTACCCCGAGCCGCAAGGCGCGGAAGAGACTGCTGCTTTGAGCTGCACGGCCGCGAGCGGCGGCGGCGACGAAACTGGTGGTGATGCCAGTAACGCCAGCGGGAACGGCGGTGATGGTGGAGATTCCTTCGCTGGCAGCACCGCCGCAACCGGCGGCGGCGGTGGCGGCGACGGTAGCGGTGGTGGTGTGGCCGGGACTGTTGCTGGCGGGCTCGTGGGCGGCAGCCCGGGATCTGCGGCGGGTTTCACGCTGGAGCGGCTCGAGGCGGAGCTTCACGAGTTGCTTAGAGAGCACAAGGGTCCTATCCACGTGGCATCGCTTCCACAGCTATACGCGGAGCGGTTCGGGAAGCCGTTGCAAGCGGAGGGGTACCTAACTGAGAGCCAGCGGCAGGGGCGGCCCGGACTAAGTCTAACTAAGTTACTCGCGCAGATGAAATCGTCGATCGCGTTCGTCGATAGGCCGAGCGGGCAGCGCGCGATAGTTCTCAAGGGGTCGCCGATTCTGGAGGAATCTAAAAAGTTTATAACGTTCAAGGAGCGAGCGGATTTGGCGCCGCCTAGTCCGGGGTCGCGGCAGATTTATCTCACTTTTCCCGCCGAGAGCACGTTCACGGAGGATGACGTGGCAGCTCATTTCAGGTACACATGACAGCCGTAGAGCACATCTCTCTTCCCCCTCCTATCTGGGCTTTATTTCTCTCCCCCCCCCGCCGCCATTTCCCCCCTTCTATCTTCCCTCTGCTTACTCCTGCACCCAACCTCTCCCCCTTTCCCTTCCCCCGCCTTTCTCTGCCCGGCGCGCAGCAAGTTCGGCCCCGTGCACGAGGTGCGCGTGCCGCACCAGCAGAAGCGCACGTTCGGGTTCGCTCCCCCTAATCTTTCCCCCTACCTCTTCCCCCTCTCTTCCCCCGTCCCCCGCGCAGCAAGTTCGGGCCAGTCCACGAGGTGCGCGTGCCGCATCAGCAGAAGCGCATGTTCGGATTCGTCACGTTCGCGTTCGCGCACAGCGTGAAAGCGATTCTCGAGGAGGGTAACCCGCACCACATCGGCGGCTCGCGCGTCCTCGTCAAGCCGTACCGCGAGAAATCGCGCCATGGCAGCGCCACCACCGCGCACGGGAACGCGGAGCGGAAGACGCGCGTTGGGGCGGACCGCGGCGCGCAGGTGTCGCCCGCGAAAGGCGCCATGGAGTCGTATTCAGGTACGGTGTATTACAGTTGTACCCTTCTACAGTACAATGTTGTTATAACCATTCTCGTTAGCGTCAGCTATCACATCTATTTCAATTCTGTCTCGCCTGTTAACGCTTTTATATCACTCTTTTTGTACATTACTCACGTGTGTTATCTCTGTTATATATTTGTGTTGTCTCTGTTTCGCGTGTTACAGACGATTCCCCCCCGCCGCCCATTCCCAAGGTGTCGAAGCGACTCTTTCCAGCGAAGAACGCGCTTCAGCAGCCGCAGCAGCGGCCGCTGCAGCAGCCACGTCAGCACCAACCGCAACCGCCGCCACCGCAGCAGCAGCAGCAAGCAGAGGAGGGTGAGGAGCAACAACCAATACAGCAAGGGAAGCAGCAGCAGCAACCGCTCGACCCGCAGCAGCAGCAGCAGCAGCGTCAGCTGCTGTCGCAGCAGCAATCTCGTCTGGAAGGCGGGTGGGGGAGCGATCACAGCCGTTCGATTCACCACCACCACGTGTCGGCCTCATACGAATCGTCGCAATACGGCTCCCCGTCTCCTTCCCCTTCCCCTTCGCCTGCCGCGGCCGCCGCCGCTGCTGCTGCTGGCACTCCGGGTGGTGCCACTGGCGTATCGCCCTTTGCCGTTTCCTCTCCCTACGCTCGTACCCCCTCCTCTATCTATGCGTCTGCGTCTGCGTCCGCCTCTCTGTCGTTCTCCTCTGCGTATTCGCCGTCTTCAGCGGCTGTTGCAGCTGCGGCTGCAGCTGCTTCTGCGGCTGTATATGACACACCGCCCAGGCGCAAGAGCCTGTATCAGTCACTGTCGTTTCGGGAGGCAGCTTCGCAGCAGCTTCCGCAGCATGCGTGGCAGCACCGGCAGCAGCAGCAGCAGCAGCAGCAGCAGCAGCAGCAGCAGCACCACTACCACCACCACCAACAGCAGCATCAAGAGGAGCAGCTGGGAGGGCACGAGCAGTGGCAGGTGCGGCTGCAGCAGCAGCAGCAGCAGCGGCAAGAGGAGCAGCAGCAGCAGCAGCAGCAGCAGCAGCAGCAGCAGCAGCAGCAGCAGCAGCAGCAGCAGCAGCAGCAGCAGAAGGGGGCAAGCGCTGAGCAGTGGCAGGTGCGGCAGCGGCTGCAGCAGTGGCAGCAGCAGCAGGAGGACAGCACTCGGCAATCCCTAGGGCTCGGCGGAATCGCCCTGGGAGACGTGGGACGCGCGTTTTCCGGAAGTGACGTGGATGCCTTGCGTGGCGCAAGGGGCGTGGGGGGAATGGGAGGCGTGGGAGGCGTGGGTGGCATGGGGGGCATGGGGGGCATGGGGACCGTAGGGGGAGCGGGAGGAGGCGTGGATGAGCATTTCTTCAAGCCGTCCCATCTCAGCCTCGCTTCTTCCTCTTTCTCCTCCCCCTTCTCCTCCTCCTTCTCCTCCTCCATTTCGTCGGGGTTGACCGGATTCGCCTCTGCTCGCACTCCCATGGATCACTCTTTCTCCTTCGCCTCCTCCTCCCTCTCGTCTCTCTCCTCTCTCCCCGGCTATGGCGCCACCGGCACCGGCACCGGCACCGCGACCGGCACTACAGCCCACTTCCCCCACGGTGAGTGCATAGTCTGGTTTCCCTTCTGCTCGAACTCCCATGGAGCACTCTTTTAGCTTCGCCTCCTCCCTCTCTTCTCTCCCCGGCTATGGCACCACCGCCACCAGCACCGCGACCGCCACTAAAACCCACTTTCCCCACGATGAATATTAATATCTTCACTGTTCTGGTTCCTTTCCCCTCTCCCTGGCTATGGCAACGCGTTGACGTCTTACACGGCAACTCACGCCTGTTCGTCCCCTTTTCCCCTGCCCGTCTCTCTCTCTGCTGCGTGCCCTCCTGCGTGTGTCTCCCCTTGTTGTCGCGTCCCCATCAGGCGACACAGGACCCGAGGGTCTTCCTCAAACACCCACACACCGGCAGCTCGAGGACGTCTTGTGATGCAACTTACCTTTTTTCCGTTCCCTTTTTTCCCGGCCTGCTTGTGTCTCCCTTGTTGTCGCGTCCCCGTCAGGCGATGCAGGACCCGAGGGCCTTCCGCAAACGCCCACACACCGGCAGCTCGATGACGTCTTGTAAGCTCCTCCCTCCCTCCCTAGCTCGCTCCTCCCTCCCTCCCTAGCTCGCTCCTCCCTTTCTCGCTCGCTCCTCCCTCCGTCGCTCCTCTCTGCTGCTCTCCCTCCCTCTCCTCGCTCTCGCCCTGCTTTTGCTGCTCCACTTTCACTCCGTTTCTCTGACTCATTTGTTTTCTCACCCCTCCCCCCTCTTTGTTGTTTCCTCAGCGATCTGCACTCGCTTCTGCCAGACAGCCCTTCACCTCGCGTAGTGAGGTGCATTTTGAGGCGCCTCAAAAGACAGCCCCCTTCACCTCGCCCTTGTGGACCAGCACTGCCAGCAACGGGTCATTCAAAGGCTCATTCGCTCTTCCCCTCCTCCCTCCCCCCTGTATTCCCCTTGCACCCGCCAGTGATCTGCACTCGCTTCTCCCGCACACCCTCTTCACCTCGCCCCTTGTGGACCAGCACTGCCAGCAACGGGTCATTCAAGGGCTCATTCGCTCTTCCCCCCCTTCTCTCCCCCCTGTATTCCCCTCTTTCCTCTCTTCTTCCACCCTGCAGCGATCTGCACTCTCTTCTGCCAGACAGCCCCTTCACGTCGCCCCTAATGACCAGCACGGCCAGCACCACAGGTTTCGTATAAACAAATCAAATACTCATTCATTCCTCTCTCCTGCCTTTCCCCCCGTTCCGTTCCTGCAGCGATCTGCACTCGCTTCTGCCAGACAGCCCCTTCACGTCGCCCCTAATGACAAGCACTGCCAGCACCACCAGTGCCACCATGAGAGACAAGAATCAAGACCGCCTGCCGCCCGCTGCTGCGCTCACAGCGGGCTCCGCCGCAGCATGGGACGACGCAGACCGCCCGGAAGCCGTTCCTTCGTCTGCTTCCTCTGCGTCCTCTGCCGCCCTCTCTCGGTTCTTCAACCCGTCGCTTTCGACCGCTCTTGTCCCTCCCCCTCCTCCTCCACCTCCCCTTCCGCTTGATCATCTTCATATTCAGCATCAGCATATTCTGCCTGCTTCCACCCGTCGCGCCTCGTTCGGAGGGGTTTCTGGTGTTAGCGTTGCCTCCTCCCTTGCTCCTGCTGCTCCGTTTTCTGCAAGTGCCTTCCCCCCTGTCAGCTCTATACAGCAGCAGCAGCAGCAGCAGCAGCAGCAGCAGCAGCAGCAGCAGCAGCAGCAGCAGCAACAGCACGTCTCAGGCTCCTCGTCCCTGTGGGGTCACGCAGAGGGGGCAGAGGCAGCCCCTGGGGACTCAACGCCGCAGCTAACTACTTCCATGGGGGAACTCAGTATGGGGGATACACAGCCGCAGCAGCAGCAGCCGCAGCCGCAGGAGGAGCATGGGAGGGTGGTGGCGAGCGTGTGGGGTCACACCTGCGATTCCTGCTCTGGTAAGTAAGGACAGCCATTCGCCTGTCTCCTGTGTGGGGTCGTGGCAGGTGCGGGTGCGGAGGTTGTGGGACATGGGAGGGTGGTGGCGAGCGCGTGGGGCCACACCTGTGATTCCTGCTCTGGTGAGAAGAGCCATGAGTGTGTCCCTGCCCCCATTGATTCTCCTGTCACGCCCACTCATGCTGTGTCACCTGTTCTTACTCCTGTTTCACTTCTCTAATCATCTCTCCCCTGCGCGTTGCCTGCCTTTCCCGGATGCGCCCTCCCCCAGAAGCGGCCTATACCATGCAGCTGGCGTGCGGGCACTACCACTGCAGCAAGTGCGCCCCGCAGGTGAGAAGAGAGGGGTTTAGAGCGGTTGGGTAGGTGTAGAAGGGTCCTGTTGCCCGCCTCCCTGGATGCGCCCTCCCCCAGAAGCGGCCTACACCATGCAGCTGGCATGCGGGCACTACCACTGCAGCAAGTGCGCCCCGCAGGTGAGGCATGAGGAGGGATTGAGAGGGGTTGGGAGAGATTGTAGGGTATGGCCAGTACTCATCTTGGGGTGTTGTGTGTCAGCACGCCTATCACCCTGCCCTCTTTCCTTATATGCCACTCTCTACCTTCCCTCTCCTTTCCTGTTTCCCACGTCTCCTCCCTTGTATCCCCCATTTGCAGGGCCTCTCGTCGTGGTGTGTTGTGTGTCAGCACACCGCCTACCAGCCCCCCCCTCCGCTCATATTCCACTCTCTCCCTTCCATCTCCTTTCCTGTTTCCCACGTCTTCCCCCATCCACAGGGTCCCTCGTCGTGGTGTGTTGTGTGTCAGCACACTGCCTACCAGCCCCCTTCCTTCGATGCTCATATCCCTCTCCTTCGCTGCACTCCTTTCCCATGCCCCACGTCTCCCCCACCCCATGACAGGGTCCCTCCTCGTGGTGTGTTGTGTGTCAGCACACCGCCTACCAGCCGCCCTCCTCTTACCTCGTTGCACAAACGTCGTGGAAGGTTCCCTCTCAAGAAGCTGCATGGAAGGTTCCTTCGCAGGAAACTGCTTGGAAGGTTGCTTCGTTGCAGCTGCAGCCACGCAGCAACAGGTCTCCCTCCTGGTGAGAGGAGGAGAGAGGAAGGGCGAGATGGGGAGAGGAAGGGAGAGGAGGAGAGAAGAGGGTAGGGGAAGGAGGAGAGAAGACTTTTGAGTCAACTTAAATGGCAGCTGCAGCCACGCAGCAACAGGTCTCCGTCCTGGTGAGAGGAGAGAGGAGGTGATAGGAGGGAATTGGAGGTGAGAGGGGGAGAGGAGGGGAAGAGGAGGGACGGGGAAGGAGGAAGGAAGTGGAAGGGAGAGACCGGAAGCAGAAGTGTTTGATCAGCGGTGGCTGCAACAGTGTCCCAACGTCCCAGCTATTGGGTCGGGGCGTTGGGAGGACGACCGATACAGTGATGGGTGTTACGCGATAGGACTGATTGTGACAGTGGGAAGCAGTCATGTTGCAGGAAAAGGGACAGGATAGCTGTGGGAAGGAGAAGCAGCAGCAGCAGCAGCAGCATCAGCGGAAGCAGAAGCAGCAGAAACGCAGCTGCAGCAGCAGAAGCAGCAGCAGGGGGATGGGGGATGGGGGAACGTTGGTGACACGGGATTGGTTCACTGCTCCCGTTCGTGCTCAGTCTCTATACAGCTGCATTTCCCTCGGCTCTTAGACAGTGCATCGCTCTCGGCAGCCTGTCCTTATACGGTTTTTTCCTTGCCTCTCAGTTTTGGCATACACACACGTTTTTTCACAGAATCCACTTAAGGCACTGAGTGCTCCTGGAGAGGGAGGGGGGGATGGGCACGGAATTCAGTTTTGACGGCTGCTCTTCCAATGTCGGTCCACGGAAGGGAGGGAGTGGATACCCGAGGAGACTTCTCACCACTTACATACTGCTACTGCTACAAGATGCCAGGAACTTGGCTACCCAACTTGGCTATACTGCAATTATAAGAAGATGCCCTGGAAGAGGGTGTGACTATAAAGAGGCAGGAGCTGGTTTGAAGATGCCGACAGGTGATATAGCAAGATGAGAAGGTTCCGAAGGTTGGGACTCGAGACACTGGAGTTGAGAGAAAGATGATCCGACCTGGAGAGCGGAGGGGCATGGTCAATTGTGGACCATGAGGTAGGGTCTCTGATAGCAGTGCCATATCCACTCCCCTCTCCCTCCGTCCCTGTCCCTTCCTCCCTACCTTCTCCCCTTCTCCCCTTACCTTCCCTTTTCCCTTTCTTCTCAACACAATGATGAGCATTCTTGGCGTTTCATTGGTCTCCATGTTCCCACGTGCGCGACAAGGCGTGGGTGTGTTCGAGAATTGAGATGCGCGTTGCGCACGCAGTAGGCTGGCAGCCAAAGCCCAACTTTAGGCAGGAGGGAGCAATAATTTATAGGTTGGGAGTGTAGCTCGTTAGGAGTTGACAAAACCCACCATTTTAGATATTCTTGTTAGGCCTAGGATGTGGGACAGTATTACTGTAGGTCCCTTTTTCACATACCTAGATATTAATTTCAACTGCATGCTTTGATGCTGATGTGGCTAGTGTAGGCACTAGATGTAGCATTGAATTGAAACTAATTACGCCCTTCAGTTTGGCTCTTCTGACATTTGTTTCATTTCAACTGAGCATGGGATTGTACCATATGTTGGCCAATACCTGAAGCCATAAAAAACACACCAGCCGTGCAGCAATGGCATCTGATAGGTTGCTGCTGCTTCATCGATCTGTGCACCAATGGTGATAATTAATGATACCGTAAGCTGGAATGTAGCTGTCGCCATCGCAGCCGCCATTACCCTCAAGTACGGTAATATCATTGTGCATATCATTCTGCTAGGATGTAGCAGCCGCTCATTACTGGTTCTATGAATCTGTGATTCAACACTGGCACTACACCAAGAATAAAGTTAAGAGGAATCGCTGCTGTCGCTGTGGTAACCAGGCAATCATCACTGCGATTCAGCCATGGCAAGAGCTGGCTGTAACCTCCCAAACCCGGCCTCTCTACTATTCCCCTTGTGCCTGCCATTCTTATGCTGCTGTTGTTCCTGCTGCTGCTTGGGCTGCTGCAGGCACTTTTTCAGAAACGCTTCCAGCTCTGCCGAGTAAATTTCCGGGAAGGTTCGGTAGTGGTCCACGTGTGGCGAGGAATCAAACCTCTTGAACATGACGGCGCATCCGCGCGATCTCTGCTGTTGGATGAACGACTCGACAGCCTCTGCAGGGATTACAGTGTCTGCTGTGCTGTAGAGATACAGCTGCGGGCACTCGGGCTGCTCTGAGGCGAGCGTGCTTGTGACTGTATCGAGCTTGCTGTTATCCAGAATCCATGCAGGGAGAGGAGGTGGGAGGGGGGGAGGATGCAGCAGGGTAGATTGGGAGCAGCGGAAGGAGGAATTTAGAGAACGGTTTGGAGTGGAGAAGAGGGATGAGAAGGGGATCAGGGAATGAAGGGAGTTGATAGGAACAACAGCAATAATGGGTGACACAGCAGCAGTGACAGTTCGAATCCATGATGATGCAAGCTGACATCCATGCCAGCAATTGCATAAAACTGTGATGAGATGAGCGATATGCAACATGAGATGAGCGATATGCAACATGAGATGAGCGATATGCAACATGAGATGAGGAACCTGAGACAATGCTGCATGACATCATGCATGCACTATGACCAAAAGGGCAAGATGACATGATGTGATATGGCGTGATATGACAAAACTTGAACGGACACGACGCAATGCAACATGACGCAATGTCTGCAAGTGCTTTGAGAATTAATGTACGTGCTTTATGCATGTCAGAGCTTTCTCGAAGCATCTACTCACGTCTTGACAACTGGGAGCTGCAGCACCCACGTGAAGAACCTTCGCAGAACGTTCAGCAACGTCTTCTCCACCGCATCCTCTTCCGCTTTCACCACCTTCTTAACCCCCATTCCCTCCCCCCCTCGCTCTCCCGCTACACCACCCGCGCTCCGCCTCCTCTCCTCCCTCTCCTCCTCCACAACATCCATCTCAGCAGTGAGAGACGCGAAGCCTAGGGAACTGCGATGGTGGTGCTTCAGACCGTCGATCGCGGCGGGGCGAGTTTCATCTCTCGGCTGTGCCTCCCACTCGCCTCTATCCGTCACTCCCCATACCTTCCCATTCGCCTCCTTCTCAACCCCTTCAGTGCTCCCCTTCGCAGCGCCGCCCGCGGAGGGTGACTCGGCGGCCAAAACTGCTGAGTCAGCAGCAGCGGAAGCTTCCGCAGTGGCGGAAACGTCCGTGCGCCCCGCGCGGGTGGCGGAGCTGCGCTTCTGCAAGATCGCAGCGGCGAACCCGCGCGCCCACACCTGCGGGTCCTGATCCAGGATCGGCGCGGAATCCACGACGCATCCCTTAATCGCCACGTCTATGGCCGCCTTACCGTACTTATCATGCAGCCGATTAAGTACCGCTCCATAGGTCAACCATCCCGTGTTGCTGAAAGTATGGAACATCAGCGTGCGTGGCTCTTTCGCCTCTCCCTGACTCACGGGGGCTGACGTGGCGGATAGGGCCACCTCTGGACCAGTTCCCGATAGCCACCTGTGCAGCTCGTCTACTAAACTGTCCACGTGGACTTCCGCCTTCTCCCCGGGTCGGATACTAAGGACGTCCTTAAACGGTATGACAAACGTGATTACATCGAAACCGCGTGACGTGTACCACTCAGCGTACCGCCGCAAATGCCGCTGCTGCGCGCCGAGCCACCCAAACAGCACCACCACCGGCTTCGCGGTTTCTGACGGCGGACCAGACCCGTCCAAGTCACCCGCTACGCCGTCGCCGTTAGACCTGACGGCTGGCTGGTGCCACTGGTGGAAAGGCTTGGACGAAGAGACGTCGCCGTTAAAAGGACCGGAGATCGGTAGCGGTGGAGTGAGAAAAAAGTTACCCAATGGGAATCCGGAAGTGTTACCGGTCGGATTACTACCATAACTTGCTGTGATCGATCGCTGCGACAAGCGCGGAATCGGGAAGTGGGACGACGGCGCGATGAGCCGGGAAAGCTGCTGACGAGAAGGAGATAACAGGCGATTGGACTCTAACGCGTATGGAATGGGCGATCTTGTAAACATGCTGCCTAAACCTCGGTACGATACTGGCGGTAGATGATAGGCAGAGGACGCAGCGTGAAACGAGACGGGAGAGGCGGCGGCGAGACTAGACTCGGGGCAACGAGCGGAGGCGGCGGCGGAGGCGGCTGATTGGAGAATCACGGACGAAGCTATCCCTACCCCGGACGTTTTGAACCGCGAAGCGGCAGGATCAGCTATGGCGTGCGTGAAGCGGTGGCGACCGGAGGTGGCGGGAGACGCGGCCATGGCGGAATGGACGAGCACGGCGGGGGTCGGAGCGGTGCGACGATCGGGGAGTTCGGAACTGACTGCTGCTGTGGCGACTGCTGCAGCCGCTGCTGCCGCCAGCGTCGGAGCGGCGGTTGTGGAAACCCGAACGACTAGCTGGCTAGCCATAGCTGATCGGGTCACGGTAAGAGTTGGTCGCCTAGCAAACACGAAGATGTCCGTCTCGCCTCTTGACTCACGATAGGATCGAAGCGGTACTTCCAAGAGCAGGGGTACGAGAGTGGGTCACCAACCCTCCTCCACAACCTCTCTGGCGTAGTTGACGGGAGTCAAGCTGATCAACGAGCAAGCAGACCAGACTTGATTGAAGCTTTTCTTGCAGCGCAGGAAGCACAATTCTGATCACGACAGCGCATGGCTGTCCCCCCATCAGCGAGAATTGCTACCTCGAGATTGGTTGGCGGGAAACCCTCGATTCTACACCCTCATGCTTCGTCGCGGTCTCAGATGGGTCTATTTTATGGAAGGCGCTGGTGGTTGAACGCCTTCCGGAAATGGTGGCGAATCACACTGTTGGGCCGTGGACACGTAAGCACGAGCCGACATTCATCCAAAGCTGTGGGCCAGGTGCTGGGGACCACCGCTTGCTGACATGTACAAAACGTGGACTGCCTTGGCCGCACAAGTCTTGGAGCGGCTGGTGTGGGCGTTCTGACCTGGCTCATTTCTTTAAATGGGAAAAATGCTACACGTTGCTTTTCGTATGTTGCAGATACGAAAATGCTGCAAGCAACAAAAATAACCATGAAGACAAATTGTTCTTGGAAAACTCAGCTTCCATCCTCTTGTCTACAGGAGCCTGCTTGAGCAGACAGATACCAGGTACTGCAGTACTCAAATCTGCTGCAACTAAACTCTAGCCACAAAGAGTGCATGAAGTGAACAAGTCAGGTGAGGAAGGCACTGGAGGCTACCACAACCACCCATCCATCCATGCCCCTATTTTCTACAATTTAGCCACCACCCTGCAGCGTGGATAAAATGTTTGCAATCCAAGCTCACCAAGGATGGTGTCTCAAGCCGTGCGTCAACAGTACAGGAAAAGGAAATTCTGAGTCATCACAGATTGTTGAACGACGACCTTAAAAATCTAACAGTGCTGTTCCTGTACAGTGGCACAGCACGATGCCCCCAACTGCTGCAGTCTTTCATTCAACTCCCTGCTGACATCTCGTACATAACCTGAATTTCCCTCTGCGCCTAGGCTGTATAGTGCTCCATCCCCCCCCCCCCCCCCCTGAACCTGAAGAGCCACAGCCACAGCAACTACAGCAGCAGCATCAGCCGCAGCAGCACCTCCGTCTACCACATACTTTATCCGCTTCCTGCTGATCTTAAGACTCTCCTCATCCTTCCTGCTTCACTACCTGCGCCTGAAACCCTCCTGAAGGTCCCGACAATGCACCCAGCGCGTGTGCTGCTGCAGCGTCCTCCTCCCCATTTTCTGTAAGATCCACCACAATAAGAGTGCCGTCCTCTCCGCCTTGCACGAACGGTCCCACAATGAAAAATCCCCACCAGGCCGCGAAAGCTGCGTCTTTTTCAGCGAGGCCTTTCGTCGGGCAGGGAATGCCGGAGTAAGTACCCCAATCGCTAGGTAACTCAACGGTGGTCGTGAACGAGGGGCAATGTGATGGTCCATAGCCGGCTGTCGTGTAGGCGGGCATGCCTTGCAACATGCGGCTGCAGTCTACTTGTAACAGACCTTTCGCCTCCGCTTTCGCGATTTCCTTCGCCAGCTCTGCTACGCGGTCGGCGTCTGCAGGCGGGTGCGCGCCAGGACAGGAAACTTTTCCCAGTAACGCATTCCGAAACGCTGCTCGGTAGGCCAGTAATTGCGCATCCTTCTTCTTAAAGCCGAGTGGCAGGTGCTCACCCCCAGGCATTCTGTCTCTGGAGATGACTTGGCAAGCTTCAGCCCGCCCGCGGAAGGTTTTGGAGCCAAAAGTGACTTCGAAGTCCCAGTTTAGTAGGTGAGCGGGACCTGTCGGGTTTATGGTGGTTGCCTGCGGTGGCTCCATGCCGAGAGCCGACGCGAGATTGTGTAACAACTGCTGGTACATTGTTACAGTATGAATGCCGCTCGAACACGTTTCAGAAGAATGATTGCCTGGATGCCGTACTCGTGAAAGCTGAGAGCAATGGCGTTGCGCGAATCGGACAAGGGAGTCAGGATGAAAAAGAACCGCAATTCGAAATGTCCAATGATTCGACAACACTATGGCGAAGGATGAAATTTGACCTTTTTAATCTGTCGAATATGGGTAAACCGATTTTACTACCATGCTCGTACAAGCTCCCAATTATACAGTCTCGTGCTGTGAGTTAGTGTGAGTAGAAAAGTGGGGATGAGATGTTTGAGAAGTGACGATGGGAGGGACGAGGAAGGGGGGAAGGCGTGATGGTTTGGGCTGGTTGGGATGACGGAGATACTGTAGGCGTGGTGTGGTGATGACGTACACCCCAGCCCAATACGTGTAGAGCAACCTGGCGCTGTATAGAGCAAACCGCTACAGAACATTGGCTTCCAGCTGTATCGGTTCTCACTATTGTATGCTTGGAAAGGGAATCGTTGTAGAGAAATAAAATCCTTTCTCCCTTTTTTCAGAAACCAGCGTGAAAGTGGCGAATCAACCACGCTAGTTACGTCAACCAATCTTAGTAGAGATTGCACCAGCGATTGTGGACTATCACAATTTTGCTATGAAATATGCTTGTTTGCAATGAATTTGAAGTTCTTGCTTAGAATATATATTAATACGATTCTAGCGTATCAAGGTGTATCACACGATTTTCTATTTCCAGCCAATTGCACTTCTGCTTCAGTAAATTTCCGCCCCGAAGGTGATTGTTTGGCTCAACCTCGTTGCAAGAGCACTTCACGTTGACGTCCCCCTGACCGCCCTCGGTAATGTCGCACGCTTGGTTCACCCTCCACCAAGCCCACCCTCACGACGTCCTGTCGACCTTCTGCGACCACTTACGACCGCGTTAGAGTGGCGTCCCAAGTGTGCTTCGTTCGCGGCCGCGATTCGTATTGGGGGAGCCGCCAGCCAGAGCTCACGGTCCCTCTACAAATCTATCGCAAGAGGGTCCTTGCCAATCACAAGCAGCATTGAGATCACGAAAACCTTCGTGAATCGTGAGACCGTGCTTGAGGTCATAGTAACACCTTTTGCACAAAGACGTCGCAAGGCAAAATCTGTTCTTCAACAGCTTCAGCTTCTGTGCCGCGCGGAGACTTGATTATCTGTCGCATGAGTGAGCTGCTGCACACATCTTGGCCGACACTTCTGTGCGATCCATACCCTGGGCGACGTCGGAATAGAGGTCGCCTAAAGCTTGCCAGCGAAGCGGATTGGGCTTCTAACAGGCGATGGAAACAGCGACCGTCTTACTCATCGCCCACGCGAAACCGAATCGTAGAGAAGAGTTCACCCAGGTTCCGCTGATCGCCAGCCCTTCCATTCCCAGTTCTTTTTTATCAAAACCCAAGTGAAAGCGTCGCCATGCGAAACTTGTTTAGTCGTAGGAACTCTCTAAAGGCGTCAGTTTTGTTTGATCTCGTGGCTGCTGTTTGAGCGGCAAACCTTTTTGGAGGTGGGCGTGGAGAAACGGGATTGGTTGAGACACTTTACACACCAAAGGCTAGGCGCGGAGGTGCCAGAGCAGGTCCTAGGCGCCGGAGGTTGGGCTAGGTGTGTCAGCAGCTTCGGGATCGTCGCGCTCGGGGAGCTTTCGAAACCTCGGGAACGCCAAGTGCCAGCTCCGGAAACACCGAGGCTACAGAAACCTACCACCCCTCGCCAGCAGCCATGCTGACGACAGCTCTGACCGCCATTGCCACAGTTGTTTCCACTCTCCCCGTCATTCGTCGCAAGTTCTCGCTCTACCTCGCCACTTTCCTCCTCGTTGGCCTTCTCCATCCACTGACCAGCTCGCTCGGTGACGGCTGGCTGCATGTCGTGTGGAATGGCATGCTCGCACCAACTTATCTCGCCACCGAGGTTGCCGGCCCACTTGGCGCGCCGTCAATCGCGCAAGTCGTGATTTCGCTTGTTCTCTCGATCGTTTTGAGTACGGGTGGTTCGACGTCAGGGTCCATTCCTGAGATCTCGTTCAGGTTCGTGACGCCGGTGCTGCTGTATTTATCGTACTCCGCGCCGACGCTCGTCGCAGCGGCGACAGCGGCCGTCGCAACCGTCGCAACCGACGCGATCGGCGCTGATTGCGGCGATTCAGAGAAGCGTCTTGCGACTGCGAAGCAAAATCAGCAACAGCAACAGGAGCTGCAGCGACTGAAGCAGACGCAGGAGCAGGAGCAACAGGCTGCCGAACCAATGGCGAAAGCGCGAGCATCACCGCCGTGTTTGCCGCTCTTCAGCACTCCCTCATCTACATCCTCCTCTTCCTCCTCTTTATCCAATCAGGAAAAGGCTAGCCTTTTAGACAGTAAGAGTGAGAGCGACAATCAGGCTCAAAAGGAGAAGCCGCGCGTGATCGTCCATTACCCCTGCAGCAACAACGCCGCGAATTGGCCCACAAACGGTCAAACAGAATCTTCTGTCAGCTATCCGTCCGCTACGGCCGCCACAGCCGCGGAACTCCCGCTGAAGATCGATGGCTCCGTTAACTTTTCCGTCCAGGGTCGGGGTGATCGGACTGATTTCGTCAAGATCGATACTTTTCCGTCAGTTCCGTCAGTGACGCCGTTTTCCCTTGGCGGTGACGCCTCCGCATCGTGGGCGGGGGGGAATGGGACGATAATGCGAGCGCGATCTGTGGGGAATTGGGGGGAAGCGGCGGCTTGCGCGGGCGCGGAGGGGGACGGGCGGACGGCAGTGGTGCTGCTGGGATGGCTCGGCGCGCAGCAGCGGCACATGCGGCAGTATGCCACGTGGTACAACGCGAGGGGTATCGATGCGATCGGTTTCGTCATCCCTTTCACCGACATATTCAGCGTCAGGGTGAGTGACTGCCGCGAGAGCAACTATAGCCAGAGTATATTAGTAGCGAGAGTGGTAGTAGATAGGCGAATCATTGATCCCTCCTTGTTATGCTTTCGCTAATGCTTCTTTCGCATGTTACCATTTCGCAGCTCGGCGAAAAGGCGGAGCTGCATGTCGACGATCTGGTTACGGAGCTTGAGAGATGGCTCCTCGAGGGCGCGAATCGCGGCGCGACGCACGGCGCGATTCACGGCGGGCTGGGAGGCGGCGGGCGCCGCTCGTTGCTGTTCCACACGTTCAGCAATACTGGATGGATTGCGTACGGCGCAGCGCTGCTGCGACTGCAGCGCAAGTACGGGAAAGCGGCAGTGGATGGGATTATAAAGGGGTGCGTCGTAGACTCCGCGCCTATACTGGAAGAAGATCCGAAGGTGAGATCCGGGGGAACTTTTACCGGAATGTGGAAGTCTTCATAGTGAGGATGAGGCTTATTGGTGAAGTTAAGATCAGTCGTGGACTCCGCGCCTATACTGGAAGAAGATCCGAAGGTGAGATCCGGGGGAACTTTTACCGGAATGTGGAAGTCTTCATAGTGAGGATGAGGCTTATTGGTGAAGTTAAGATCAGTCGTGGACTCCGCGCCTCTACTGGAAGAAGACCCCAAGGTGAGAAAACAGAGCCACTTTCTGTACGAACAGTGTGGGGGTTTCCAAGGCTGTGTGCTAAGCGTTCTTCGACACCACCCAACTTTTCCTCCCACTCCCTCTTACCCCTCTCGCCCCCCTCCGCCCCCACCCCGGCCACCGGCCCCCCCCGCTCCTCTCCCCCGCCCACCTTTGGATTGATGCCGGCTAACCATCACGCGCTGGACTTGCAACTGCTCAGATCTAAAAGGGCAGATCATCCGCCGTTTCCCTTTCCAACTGTTCACTCCTTCGCTACACTGCATTCCCCCCCACGCTTCCAGCTCCTTCTTTCGTGATTTAAACCACCCTCTCTCCCCTCCTTTCCCCCCCCCAAACCTCCCTAGTCAACGCCCCCACCACACACCCTCATCCCTTTCCCGACCAGCTGCTCCCCCCAACCCCAAGGTGTGGGCGCACGGATTCCCAGCAGCCATTCTGCAGAAGCGCAGTGCAGCGATACGCATGGGCTCGCTTGTCATTGACTCCCTAAGCTCCTTAGCCTTCCCCACCTCCCTCTCCCTCCCTTCCCCCACCACCTCTGCCCCTTATACACAGGTGTCGGCGAGCGGTTTCTCAGCAGCCATTCTGCAGAAGCGCAGTGCAGCAACGCGCATGGGATCCCTTGTCATTGACCCCACTTTCTGACCCCCTATTCCCCTCCCAACCCCCAAGGTGTGGGCGAGCGGTTTTTCAGCGGCCATTTTGCAGAACTGCAGTGCGCAACGCGCATGGGCTCCCTGTCAGTAACTCCTCCTGACTCCTTATTCCCCTCCTTTCACTGCCATATCTTCCCGCCAACCCCAAGGTGTGGGCGAGCGGTTTCTCAGCGGCCATTCTGCAGAAGCGCAGTGCTGCAACGCGCATGGGCTCGCTGGTCATTGAATCACCTTTTTGACCCCCCTACCTCCCCTCCCTTCCCCACCGTCTGTGGCCCCAACCCCAAGGTGTGGGCGAGTGGTTTCTCAGCGGCCATTCTGCAGAAGCGCAGTGCTGCAACGCGCATGGGCTCGCTGGTCATTGAATCACCTTTTTGACCCCCCTACCTCCCCTCCCTTCCCCACCGTCTGTGGCCCCAACCCCAAGGTGTGGGCGAGTGGTTTCTCAGCGGCCATTCTGCAGAAGCGTAGTGCTGCAACGTGTATGGGCTCCCTTGTCATTGACTCGGTTGTCGGCTGCTCCCAGCTCAAATTCGCCCTGCTGCAAGCCAGCACCCTCCCCGCTCGCCCTAAGTTCCTTAGTCCCCTTTCCCTATCCTCAGGTGTGGGCGAGTGGTTTTTCAGCGGCCATTCTACAGAAGCGCAGTGCGGCGACACGCATGGGATCCCTTGTCATTGACCCCACTTTCTGACCCCCCTACTCCCCTCCTGTCCCTGTCATATCTTCTCCCCAACCTCAAGGTGTGGGCGAGCGGTTTCTCAGCGGCCATTCTGCAGAAGCGCAGTGCTGCAACGCGCATGGGCTCCCTTGTCATTGACTCTATCGTCGGCTGCTCCCAGCTCAAATCCGCCCTGCTGCAAGCCAGCACCCTCCCTGCTGCTTCCTCCTCTTCTGCTTCTGCTGCTGCTGCTGCTACTGCTGGTGGCGGTGGCGGTTGCGTTGGTGTTATTACTGCTGCTTCTGGTGTTGCTGCTGTGGATACTGCCTCTGTGGCATCTGCTGCGGGTGCTCTCTCTGCTCCAGCGTTCACCAGTGTGACTGTAGCCCGGAGTGACTGCAGCAGCAGCTGTGAGAGCCTGTACCCGGGGCAGGGGCAGGGCTCGTGGCAAGTGGAAGGGCAAGGGCAGGGGGAAGAGCAAGGGGGACTGGATGGTGGGGAGGGGTTGTTTCCTTCGCCTGCTCCCTGCGGGTGTGAGCTGGTTTGGTGGCGGGCTGACGAGGCTGAGAGATTAAAGACGTGTGGGAGCAAGGCAAGGGGAAGTAAGGCGTCTGCAGGTGCCGCTGCGGCTGCTGTGGCGGCAGTGGCAGGCAGTTTGGGGGATAGAGGCATGCGAGAAGTGATCGGCTGTGGTGCTGGTCCTGGTAATGGCTGTAGTAACGGGTGTGCTTCAAGAGGGGTGTCTCAGCAGGATCAGCAGCAGTGGTTGCTACAGCAGCAGCTGATAGCTGTGTACAGAATGCAAGCAGAGAAGCAGGAGAGAAAGCTGGTGTTGGGAAAAGAGCTGAGAAAAGAGCAGGAGCAGGGGAGCGGCCTTCACTTGCAGCAACAGCAGCAGCCACGGCAGCAGCGGTGGTGGCAACGAGGAGGGGGGAGAGGCAGGGCGGGCGGGGCTGCGAGCAGCATGGTGCAGGCGTGTGGGCGGGCGGTGGGGGCGTGTGGGCGCGTGGCAGTGGCGGTGGTGAGGGTGGTGAAGGTGCGATTGGATGCGCTAGAGAGTGTGCTGGTGACGGCGCTCTGGCTCATCTTCCAAGTGGCTCTGCGCATCCCCTACGTCAAAGGGTGGGTTCAGCCAGTCAGTCGGTCAGTCATTCCAGTCAGGCAGTCAGTCAGTCAGCCAGTCAGTCAGTGAGTCAGTGAGTGGCGGTGGTAAGGGTGCGATTGGATGCGCTAGAGAGTGTGCTGGTGACGGCGCTCTGGCTCATCTTCCAAGTGGCTCTGCGCATCCCCTATGTCAAAGGGTGGGTTCAGCCAGTCAGTCAGTCATTCAGTCGGTCGGTCGGTCGGTCGGTCGGTCGGTCGGTCGGTCGGTCGGTCGGTCGGTCGGTCGGTCGGTCAGTCAGTCAGTCCGTCAGTGTACTTGCCACTGCCAGCCAGCTCATGAATGGTTGAATATTAGCCATGGCACGCTGACCTCATCAACTCCTGATGTCTCTGATTCTTCACCCCTCTTTTCTCGCTTCTTATGTAACTCTCTCCTGTCAACCCCCTCACCCCTCTGCCCTCTTCTGAAATGAATCTTCCAGGAAGCTTGGTGAGGTGACTAACACTCTGCACCACCACCAGCCCAACTGCCCGCAGCTCTACTTCTACAGTGAAGCAGACATAGTCATTCCGCTGCCCGCTGTTGAAAAATTCATCCTCGGGCAGCGGGCCCAAGGCCACAGGGTGATGTCGATGCGATTCGAGTGTTCGCCTCACGTGGACCATTTTCGCACATTCCCTGAGCTGTACACACAACAGCTGGAAACGTATTTGAAAGCGTGCCTACCGCATCGTTTCAGTCAGCAGCAAGACGGTTACCAGGATGGGTGTGGTTATGAGCACAAGACAGTTGCAGCGGTGCACAGTGCGACTGCCCAGTGTTAGGAGCTCAGGGTGGTGGCGCTAGGATTGATAAGGATGTGAGTCTTTTTTTGTCTGTAATTGTTTCATTAATGGTCAGATCAGGGTGGTAGTTGTAGTGGCATTTCAGGGTTGCGACATGTGTAGTTTAGGAGTTATAGCCTGTTCAGCTGTGGGTATTTTAGCCAGTTCAGAGCTTGTCTAACTTGTTATATCTCAAGTACCAATGGAGACCACGAGTGCCATTATGGACACAACCTGTAAGAGAAAGGGGATTGGTAGAAATAACATTATAATTTTTAAACACACAAAGTGTTTTTCAAAATTACGTATTTCGAAAGCGCAGCTGCTTGAAACGCATGTTTTGGCATCGTCGAAGCGCGCTAAACGCCCTTCTCCAACTACAAATCGTGGGTTGGAGCTCATTTCCCTCCACCCACGTCTCTCATTTTTCCAACGGCTCATACAACTCTAGCTTCTCAAGCTCAGCTCTAGTTTTACCGTTCAAGCTGGCGAGAACTCGCTCATTGCCTAGAGGCGTTTCCCCTTCAACTTTATTTGCCGACATCCTTAACCAAAACCGCTCAACTATGGCTGCGACGCCGACACTTAACCGTGCTAACAACAACGTCGCCAACGACCCGACAATTTCCGACAACGACCGTAACGCCCGTGAAACGACTGGCGATCGTTGCAACAAGCGCCGGGCAGACGGCGAAACATCCGCCCCGACCGCCGTGGACGTGCTGCTGGGCGGGCTCGAAGTCAACAAAAACGCCGAGCAGCACCCCCAGCACCCTTCGGCGCCTGTGGCGCCAGTGGCCCCTGTGGCGCCAGTGGCCCCTGTGGCGCCAGTGGCGCCAGGGGCGAACGTGGCGACACACGCCACGGACGCGGAGCACGCGCCAGCGGCACACGCCTCCGGCCGGCCGTCGCGTCAGCGCCAGAGGCGTCGTACGGCCGCCTCGTCTGACGCGACGGCTGACCAAGCCTTGACCGAGGCGTTGACCCCGGACCAAGTCAAGGCCCTGTTGTCCCTGTTACAGCAGCACCCCGCTAGCGCGACCGCCGCCGAAACTACACAACCTGCGGCATCTGCATCGGCTAAAAACGACATTGCAAAAAAGGAGAAAGGAGCAAAAGGACCATCAACGCGCCGCCACGACAAGGAGACCGTGACCAGCGCTCCTGCAGCCGCAGCGGTCAACAACGACTCCGACGACTCAGACGACGACGCCGGTGAGGCTCCGAACAACGCAACAAATTTTGCCTCCATGGAAAATCTCCCCCCCCTCCCTTCCACTAACCCCATTTTTTCGGCGGCAAACTTCATCGTGAGGGCCTACCTGAAGCACGCGGAGTACAAACTGCAGCGCGGCGATGCGGCGGGCGGACTTGAAATGGTCGAGAGCGCCCTCGACTACATTTCGGAGCGTTACGACATGCTTCAAGTCGAGGACGCCACCGACGATCGCGTCGCCAAGCGGTTCAAGATGTACCAGCAGAAAAGCCTCCTTACCTCCCGCCCCTTCAAGCAAGCCATCGCCGACGTGGCAGCAATGGATCGCGCGGAGGGTATGCACGCTCGATCCCACCGCGGCGGAGGACGCGGGCCGATGGCGTTCAACCCCAAGCGTGGCCCGCCTATGGGGAGCTTCCACGGCTTCCGTGGGACGTGCTTCCGCTGTGGCCAGCCGGGGCATGTGGCAAGTGGCTGCCCGCGGAATGGCAATGGTGGCCAAGGACCCGCACCCGTGGTGTAGGGATGGTCCTTGAGCGTTTGCGCCTTAGCGCGCGTGGCACGGTGCACGTCAAGTGCGTTGACCGTGGGCAACCCAAAGGGGTTTGCGATGGCTAGTTGCCAAGCCCTAGTTAGGGGTGATGATCATGCTATAGGCCTAGGAGGTGGGAGAGGGAATAGAAAGCCCTTTGGTCCCATAAATTGGCCCACGCAGTGTGAGGCGGATGCATGCTAGGAAGCATGGCTATGTGTGGCTCGTTTCTTATAAGGGCTTTATTTTGAAAGACGTACTTTCTGATCTTGGCTTGGATGACCAAAAAAAAAAAAAAAAAAAAAAACCAGAGAGCGACGAAATGGCAAGCACCCACACGATCCCGAGCAAACGGCCCCACTACTCGTCGGCATGGGCTGCCGTTGTCTTGGCCACGGTCCAAAGGGCATGTCATGACATAAGGAAAAGCAAGAGCAAATGCAAAGAGTGAACGAGAGAGAGAGAGAGAGAGAGAGAGAGAGAGAGAGAGAGAGAGAGAGAGGGAGAGAGAGAGAGAAGGACAGAGAGAGAGAGAGGGAGAGAGAGTAAAGGGAAGAGAGAGGGAGAGAGAGAGAAAGGGAGAGAGAGGGAGTGAGAGGGAGTGAGAGAGAGAGCGAGAGAGAGAGAGGGAGGGAGAGAGAGAGAAAGAGAGAGAGAGAGAGAGAGAGAGAGAGAGAGAGAGAGAGAGAGAGAGAGAGAGAGAGAGAGAGAGAGAGAGAGAGAGAGACATGAAGGAGTTGAACCGCGTTACGCGGACGCAATGGGTGACAAACGGTGATTATGACTTGTTGATGTGTCTATAGGCACACGTCCATCGCAGGCACATTCCTTTGAGCCATGATGGCTTACATCCTAACACTTTTCTGGTCCATTGTCACTTGGCAAACATGCAGAGGTAATCCGATACGAGGCGCCATGCAACGGAGATCCATACGAGTTCGCTGTCACTGAAAAAATCGGTCACGCAAATGCGCGGGCGGCTTCGCGCAACCCTTGCATGGTGGAGCTCGTAGTGCCCCAGCAGCCTCATCCTCTCTGTCATTGCTAACGGCTACTGGCTGCCATGGAGCCACAACCCACCAAAACCGTTTCACGAGCGCAACCATCTCGGGGCGCACACACACGCTGCGTTCACACGCACTGCCATTCGCGAACTTATAGAGACTGGCGCGGCGGTAGTCACGCCAGCAGCGGAACTCACATGTATAAGCCCACTTAACGTGGTTGAGCAACGAGAGAAATGCAGGCTAATCCTCGACCTCAGGAAAGTGAACGCGCACCTGATCATCCCGAAATTCAAATACGAAGGCCTCAGCCGTGTGGCCGACCTGGCACGCATGGGAGATTGGATGTTCTCTATCGACCTCAAGTCGGGATACCACCATATTGACATACACAACTCTTGCTGGAAATTCCTTGGCTTCGCATTTGAAGGGCGCACGTACTCCTTCCGTTCACTACCCTTCGGCCTCGCCACAGCACCATTTGTCTTCACACAGCTCATCAAGCAACTAGCCAGGCGCTGGCGTGAACAAGGGGTTCGAGTGATACCCTATGTGGACGATATCCTGTTCTTATGCACGTCCAAGGCTCACGCACAAGCAACATGCCAGCAGATAATTTTGGACCTTAAGATGGCGGGCTTGGTGATTAACGCGAAAAAGTCGCAGCTGTTACCATCACAACATCTGCGATTCTTGGGCGTCGAGCTGGACACCAAATCCGGACAATTCTCCATCAGCGCCGATTGACGGGCATCACTGCACGCACATATTCGGAACCTATTGGGCGCAAGCAAAGCGCGCCGACAAGTTCCAGTCCGCCACCTGGCCAGAGTCACCGGCACACTCGCATCGATGGCCGTCGCACTCGGCGCCACGACTCGTGCGTTCAGCCACGCCATGCTACAAGCAATCAACGATGCGCCATCCTGGGGAAGCAGCATGAGCATTTCCCCACCTGTTGCTGAAGAGTTGCAGTTTTGGCTTGAAGAGTTTGACAAATTCAATGGCGCACCATTCCACGTCCGGAACAGTTACGACGCTGTAATTCACGTGGACGCCAGCTCCCATAGTTGGGGTGCCACCCTGCTCACCTTTCCTGGCGAACTCGAGGAAGCAAGCGCAGCCATGCCGGAACCACTACACATAACGTCCAGCACGCGGAGGGAAATTGAAGGCGTCCTTTGGGCTCTTCGAACGTACGCGAACGAGGTTCAACACAAGCACGTGCTCGTGAGGGTGGACAACCAAGGGGTCTTTTTCATCCTTCGCAAAGGCGGCTCTCGCACCCCTGACCTCACCACCGCCTGCAAGGACATCATCCGCACATGCATGGAGCTCGGCACTCGATTAATTGTCGAATGGATCCCGCGCGAGCTAAACTCCCATGCCGATGAGCTGTCCTAGATGATCGACCACGACGACTACTGTTTGAAACAACCATGGTTCCGCATCCTCAATCGCCGCTGGGGACCTCACTCAATCGACCTCTTCGCGAGCCCAAACAACTCGCAGCTGCCGCGTTTTTGCTCAAAGATACCACACCCGGGGGCCACGGCAATTGACGCATTCTCGATTTCATGGTTGACCGAGAATGGCTTCGCGTTCCCGCCACCCCAGTTAATCCCGGCAGTCATCCACCACGCACAACGCACCCACGCATCAATTACCCTCGTTGTCCCACACTGGACAGGGGCAACCTGGTGGCCGGTTTAGCAGTAGGAACGCACCGCACCGCTTTCTCAGGCACAGGATTGCCTCATAGTACAACCGTCGCATTAAGAGTGGTCTTTAACTAACACATCTCGTCCTCATTCGCGCAGACGTACTGCCAAAGTTACAAGTTCAGCTTCTAAAGATGCTCTCACAGTCTCGCGCCGACTCAACGATCCAAACATACGAGCCATACTGAGTCAAGTTTCGAGCCTTCTGTGCAAAGGTGAACCTCCCATTCCTCCCCGCGGCAGACATGACCCTCGCTCTGTACTTGGTGTACGCCATCAAACGCAAAGCCACCCTATCCATGGTACAACTCACATGCTCAGCCGTGAGCTTCGCCCACCGCATGACCGGGAGCGCATGCCCAACGGCAGGACCATTCACCACTCAAGTACGCGACTTCGCAAAAAGGCACTGTCCTCGCCCCACGAGAGTGAAGGAGCCCGTCTCGCTGCAACAAGTTCGTGACATGTCTGCTGGTTACCTGCAATCTGACAACCCCGGGGAATTCCAGAAGGGGCTCATCCCCATT